TAGGGCAGTACGAGCTTGATTGGCAGTACAATCATGATCGTACCAAGAGCATGTGCGCATCCACAAATGTCTCGCCAGAGAAGGAGGGTCTCCGCCGACAGCGGCCTTCAGAGAATCCGGTCCAGCAGTGCAGAAGTATAGTCTGCGCACGATCAAGCAGGAGCCTGTCGCGAGGTGCCTTCCAGCGAGACCGGCTCCACGAGCTGGGCATAAGCTCACCAGCAACAAGACAAACAGCAGCAAATACGAATCCTCCTCAGCCGGGCCAAAGCACACCGGCGTTCCCGTCTCCAACTCCAGCTGAGCAGTTGCTGGCCAGCAGCACTCAGCCTCAAAGCATACGCAGAAGTTCCAGCTGGGCAAAAGCACACCAGCAAAAGAAAAGGTCATCCTCAACAAAAGCCTTCTTCAGCGCCGGGCCAAAAGGCACACCAGCATTCTCTCTTCAACACGAGAATCCCAGTCCAGCATCCGATCGAGAGCCCAGTGAGAGTACGCTGCAAGTCGCATGTTCGCAAAATCGGTGTTCGCCAGCCCAGTGGTATGCACCTCAAGTCCCCGTTCCAGCGAACAAGCAAGAGCCTACCAAGAGTACGCTTCAAGCCACGCCTTCCTGAGAACGAGAGTGCTCCCGCTCAGCACAAGAGTCGGAGTCTACCAAGAGTAGTCTTCCCGGAATCGCAGCCAGCCAAGGCCCCAATACCCAACAGCGAAAACCAAGGCAGACCATGAGCCGCTAGCGACGAAGCTGCTGTTGTGAGACTCTGGCCACATGGCGTCGAAGCTGAAAGATGGCCACAATCGTTGCAAGTTCTCCGCAGCCAAGCAGCCGATTCCTGTGAGGCCACACCCTGGTCCGGAACGGAAAGTCGAGATGCGAAGTCGTGGTCCAGGCAACAAGATCAAGTACTAAACTGCAAGATGGCTGTTGCTGAAGTCGATGCACAGAGCCTTGAATGCCGATACCTGAGTTGATGGTTTTGCTGAATCTCGAGATGGCGCTGCACTCAGTAGCCGGGACACACGTCTCGGGGGCGCCCGAATTTATGCTGCAGTTGTGAGGACAACACCGGACTTACGCGGGCCCGACGGCTCGCCGCTGCCAAAGGGAAGAGATTGCAAAGCTGGTCAAGAGCAACACACTTTGCTGGAGGGAAAAGAAGAAGTACGAGATGCGGTCATGCAACCTTACAGGAGGGAACAGCTCTGCCAAGTCAAAGCGAGCTGCCAGACATGTGCCGATACTCGCGACGATACCTCAGCGAGCAGCCGGGACAAGTCGTCTCGCCGGCGATACAGCAGAGGCATAAGGAAAAAAGAGAAAGGGAGCTAAACTGATGCGGGCCACGAGGCTCGCCGCTGCCAATGCAAGGGAGAGATGAAGAGGCACTCCGTTGTGCTTAGAGGCAAGCAAAACCAAACCAAATCGAGAAGGGACGTTCTGGTCTTACACGGGCGGTGAAGCTCTCCGAGGCCAGAAGACAGATGTTGAAGTCGAGAGACGCTGAGCAAAAGGAGAGATGAAAAGCTGGACTTTGGCGGGCTTTGAAGCTCACCGCCGCCAGGTTGTGAGTGCCGGTACTGCTGAAAAGAACCTTGGTCGTTGACGGGCTTGGAAGCTCCGCGATGCCAACGCGAAGGGGTGTTGGAGGAGTGTTCGAAGAGATGATGAAGAACATGTGGTCTTGCACGGGCGTGGAGGCTCACCGCTGCCAGTGTGGGATGCAGAATTGTCCTGGAAGGCGAAAGGGAATCCTGGATTCAGTCGGGCGTCAAAGCTCTCCGATGTCAGTGTGGAGCGGTGATGAAGGGATCTTGGTCTTGCTCGGGCTTCAAAGCACTCCGATGCAAGTACAAGAAAGCCAAACCGCGAAAGACGATCGAAGAGACTTGACCTCAGCAAGCGTCTACCAAGAGTAGTCGTTAAGTTCGGCTGCAGGACTTACACTGGCCGAAGCCCACAGATGCCAAAGAGTAAAAGAGACCGGGAAGTGCTTGCGAATGTCATCTGCCCAAGCGCTACCAATCCCGAAGGAAGAAGTCTTGAAAGCAGGCATTGGACTTACGCCGGCCTGATGACTTGGCTCACGGCTGCCCAGAATGTTCGCTGGCGTTGGAGAACAAAGCAGTCGAAGAAATTCCAGAAGCAAGGCTGGAAGGCGAGGCGGGACTTACACCGGCTGAAGCAGCTCACGGATGCCCAATGAAAGTATGCGAACGGTGGCCGAAGTGTGATGCTTGTATTTGGTACTCATGCCTGAGCTGTGGCCATGGTGGTACTATCGGAGTTGGTCACCCTACTTCGCAACATCTTGCGAGGACCATGGCAGCGGCGATATCCTTCTCTTACTGAAGAACTCCTGGCATTAAGGACATAGACTTCGACCAAGATCCTGCTATTCGGTCTTGCAGAAGAAGAAGCCACATGAGATGGAGTACTTCCATGGCGGCAAACGGTCAGCTGGGTGGCAGTGTTTCGCCATGATGGCGAATGCCGAATTCGAAGTGTAACCTGTTGAGCTCTTGTCGAGAGCAGAAGCTCTTGTCTGCTGGCGTCACCGAGGAGAGACGTATCTCGGAGCCACTTGCTGCTTCTGCTGCTCATGGCACGACGTCCATCGCCGTGGTCTTTGGAATCAGCCTGCCATGTGCCAGCATGCACCTACATCTGTTGTATCAGCCAACTGTCATCCTGCTGTGCAAAGAGTGTGTCTCCATGATGGGAGAAGGCAGTGTGTGATGAAGAAGTCTCTGAGAAACGACCAACAAGCCAGCTTTCGGAGTGGCATCGGGTCTCCACCTGGTTCTCGGCTTACCATTTGTGGTATGCCGAAAGTCTCTCTTCTGAGCGGAACCACACTCCGAGGACTCACTCAGTCGAGCAGTGGACTGCACAGGATGTGACACTGAGACTCCTCGGAGCCCGATGACTGTCGATGTCGCCACCGCTGGCGTAGGACTGGTGGCAGTGATGTGCAACTCATCGAGGACCACGATGTCAGACCCCAGACGAATCTGCAAAGCCCATGAGAGCATTGAGATGTCCCGTGGTGTCCAGACCACCGCCGTGCGGTTGGTGTTCATCTCGCCGGAGTTTCCCATGGTGCTGCTGTCCTCGTCACATTCCTCCTCTTCATCCTCCTCAACGTCCTCCTCTTGGAGCTGTGCCCGACCCGGCAGCTCTGTTCAGATGTTGGAGAGTATCGGTGTTGCGGATGTCTGGGCGACTGCGGGTGATGGTGGAGGCCATGTTGGCGGAGATGCTCGGCGGGAGATCTTACCCTAGGAAGTCTGTCAGCGGCACCAATGGAGTGCTGGCACACCATATCTCGCGTGGGACGCCGCGGATAGTGTGTAAGCGAGTGCTGAGCTGCCGCTTTGCCACCGACCTCGCCGTCGATTCGCGGAAGATGACTGTCGGCGTTAGTTGTGCCTATCAGCGCCTCAAGGTGAGGTCAGCGAGCTGTTCAGCGAGCTGAGGCTGTGGTCACAGCTGCTGGGGGCATTGGGGATCCTCACTGGAGGCTCTCCGCCGTCATTGAAATCGGTGTTGCGGCAAAGGAGGTGGTGTCAGAGGAAGACTTACGCATCAAGGCGCGAAGTAATGGCGAAAGCACCTCCCAGCCAGCTGAGACCATTGCCGCGGCTGCTTAGGACGAATGAGATGGCCAAGTCCAGCTCCTCGTTGCCACCGAGCTCGCTGTTGAGGCGGCGGAGGTGGTGGATGGCGGGAAAACATTCCTTCAAGGGTGACTAAGCGGTGACTGAGGGCTCTACTGACGGCCGGAAGATGTCGTAGAGGGTGTCAGAGGCAGCGAGAAGCTCTTCCGCTGCTCTTTCAGTTTGTTGGCGGAAAGAAAGACGTCGTTGTGGTGGTGGAGAGGAAACTGCTGGTCAGTGACTGGCGAGCAAGAGCCATCAGTGCAATTCAGCGCCAAGACCCTGGCTTTTCGCTGCGAATGTGCCGAATGGCTTCCCCTCCACGGCCACAACACCACCACAGGACTTCGAAAACACCTAAACCACCGCGGCGGAAGGTCAAAGATGGTATTAGAAGCAGCGCGAGGTGTTTTGGTGCCCTCCGGAGCCTTGATCAGCGCACAGTACGACCGCCAGGCAAGCAGCTCCGAGCCTCAGGCCAGCACCTCACTTCCACCACTGTCCGCCCGCCTCGAATCCTCCTCTACGACCTCAAATCCAGCTTCAGCGCCTTCTGGAATCACACGCGCAGCTCACGATGAGCGGAGACGGCAGCGGCAACAGCCTCGGCGGCGGTATGGATGGTGGCGGAGGAAACAAGCAGAAGGAAACAGCACAGGCATAGCCCTGCTTCCAGTACCTCCCAGAAAGCGAGCACTGGGCAGCCATTGTTGCGGCAACCGCATCAAATCGGCACAAGATCATTCAGCAGAGAAGAAGATGCGAGACTGTGTGTAATGAAGGCACAATTGCAGCAGAACATGGCAGAAATTGCCAGAAACAAGGTGAGGATGGAGGGATTGAAGGAGCAGGACAAAGCCATCTCTATGAGGCTGAGTTACTGCCGCAACGAAGTCTCACGTATCGACCAGAGGATCAGTGAGCTAGTCTCTGTGCGGGAGAGGGTAAGCGGAGCCCAGCAGGGTGACATCCATGCCGGTTTGTCGAAAGATAACTAAATGGGGATCCGGTGGCAAGTATTGCATGATTCTCATTCTCATCCTGTTTCAAAGTCCAGCTGGTTCCAGACAATGCTTGAAACACTTTTTCGCTTCTTTCGAAACACTGATTTCTTGCAGATACGAGACCATTCACATTCACTGTCCCGCACGTGATTGCAGCGCTCGCAATGCCTTCGTCTTCTCCATAAAACCACTCTTCCCTTCTTGCTCAACCTATCACTCCAAGTTCTCTTGCGAACACGAAGCCATTGATCATCACCCTCGCGAGCTATTCGAGCTGCGCCAGACCCACGAGAACTGATTCGTTTTCCTTCCAAATCAACTCCACAATCGCCGATCATGGCGTGGATTTGGGGCTCCACCTCGAGCAAGGAGCCCGATCGACCGCCGTCTCCCGCTCCTTCTCAAGCACCAAGCCCTGCAGTCGACAACTCGGCCGCAGAGATTCGAACTCCAGCACCAGAGGTAGATGAGGAGGAGTACATGCTGGAAGTTCAACCGCGCGGGTTGAAGCGAAAGGCCGGACATGAGGTTGGAGACATCTCCGTACGCGGCTTCAAAGTGGTGTACAATTCGAGCAAGGTCATACCGGCCATAAGCGTAAGTTCGTATGGCAATCGAGAAAAACGGAGTACTAACTCTGGGATAGAAAATGCACAACGACTCTGTCAGCACGCAGCCAGCTGGCGAGCACCTCCTGCATCTCCCCGAGTCTGTTCAGAGACTAATCTACAGCTTCGTGCTCGTCGATGAAGCACCTTACGATGTCCTTCCCCAAGGCCATTTAGTGCCACAGCCACTCGTCAGCTGGGACATCACCGACAGCAGCCAACTCGTCAAGCGCCAACACACGAAGTCCGATGGCACACCGATTCGCGAAGCACCTGGACTCCTCACAGCCTGCAAGCAGATTCGCGAACTTGCTGTTCCTATCTTCTTTTTTGGAAACTCTTTCAACATCCGTGTCTCGAACTTCGATGGACTTGCGATTCAGCCCTTCTGGAAGCTGATGGACTCGCATCGTCAACAAGCTGAGAAAGATCCAATCCTCCTAGCCGGAAGCCACGATGAGCTTGGCTTTTTCGAAGCATTGCAGGAGAAGTCGACACCGCTACTGGACGGCCTTGAGGACCACATCTCTTCGAGGCCGACAGCCACCAAGGAGTGCGAGTTCACGATCTGCCGCCTCAACGATCCTCCCACCACCTCACTCACGATGGGCGAGATCAAGTGTGACCTCTCGTATGAACCGCACTGGGATAACTTGCTCCTCTGGCTGCGCGAGTGCATCAAGGGCGAGCTGCCACCCTTCAATCCAGGCGATCTGTCTGAGCACCAAGATGGGCACAAGTTGACGTCTATCGAATGGCTCTTCCAGATCACGAAAATTTACAAGCCGACTGAGATGGACGAGTTTCTGAAGGCCATCGCCACACATCGTGGTCATCTCATCCGGGACGATCCCAGATGGGCACCATCGCCCCAGTATGAGGACATCGAGGAGTCTCAGACGCTTCGTCACGCCACACCCCAAATCTCTCCACGCGAGACTCCTTCAAAGCAGTTCGTCTTCACTTCGTCGCCACCCTTGCCCCAAGTCTCGACCACGTCCAGGCTTGGAATGGGCAAAGGCTATCAACACGCACGAGAGTCTCTGGGCCCAGCTTTTCGAAAGTCAACTTCTCTGGCGTCTAGCTCGAGTGGCCAGCGTGTGGAAGTTAAGGGTTCTGATGATGAGGAGGACTCGGATGAGGAAGAGTTGTTTTGCCATACGAATAAGAAGAGAAAGATAAACTTGGTGGTGGACCTGGATGGGGAGTCTGGGGATGAGGATACGAATGCGAATGATGATGGAGAGGTGGGCAAGAATGGTTTTGATGAGGACTGAATGAATGCGATGCACGGGAAAGCGATGATCGGTTTGCCAGCGGTATGAATGAGCGAAAGCAGCTTGACATGGAGGCAACAGGGATTTGTCGGATCGTGGCGAGCGGCTTCGAGTACCTGCTACTTGTCAAATTGTCAGTAATACACAAAGACAGCTCGCACAAGACCGTGAAGTACAAGTCAAGCTTGTCTAAAATCATTCTGACGTCCTCCCTATCGGTATATTGATGTGTGTTTCCCAGTACTGAAATGAATGCCACAAGACCTGATCGAAGGCGAATAAAAGCGAGCAAATTGTGAGCTACCAATATCCATGTGGTATGGAAGGATATGTGGCAAATATCTGCAGAGGTACTGCAGTACCTTTATTCCATGTGCAGCAACTGTTTCAAGGCTGCGGATACTGGTACATCCCATGGTATAAGTAGTAGATACCATCGTGTGGGCAAGAGCATTTGCGAGATGTTTCCAGCTTTTCTGAGTTACCTCCATTGTTTGCCATCACTCTCATCACAGAGTTACCTTATGATATGTTATTGATTGTATGGTCAACTAGTGATTTCTAGCAAGTGCTTGCAAGGCTCGGACAAACTTCCTTGGGCAGCTACATGTACTCCGATCAGAAGCAATCTTGGAAACAGCACAACACATCGACACAATTATGCAACAGCACTCTACATATACACTCATTGACTGTTTCAATATTGCCTTGTCCATCCTTCTAGCTGCTGGGACATAACGTGAGGCGTATAGCTTGCGGCCAGATGTGCCTTCATGAGGATAATGTTGGAGGCGCGAGCGATCCAAAGTGGGCATAAAAGACTGTAGGGAAGCCTCAAAGATGGATATTCATGCTCTCCTCATCTGTCTCGTCTGAGGCTATGTACACAACATCAGTCATGCTGGCAGACTAGTGGGAACATCGATTCGCACCCACGAGCGGCTGCACGAACGAGTCCCAGCCGAGTCGGGGAAGGCTTTGGAAGTCGAAATTTGAAGTTTCAAAATACTACATTCCCGGCCTCAAGCTCGCTTGGGCGAGTGTTCGAGCTCTAAGCGAGTGAAGTGAATGGTCCGTGCACGCCTAGCAGCACCGACGCGCATTTGCACACAACGACATCATCCCATCTCGAACCGGCGACTTCTACATTGAGCCATTACGCTTGTCACAATGTCCGCTTCCGGCGCTGAAGCCTGGCAGGGTGCCAGTAAGTTCCCGGAAGACAATCCGCTGCACGAAAGAGTCACCGATTTCGTCAAGAGCGTCGATTGGGACGCCCTTCGCAGACACGCCCAAAGCGTGCGCGGCGTAGCGTGCGAGCTCAGTCAAAGCTACTCAACAGGACTCGACAATGTAGTCAGGAAGATCGACTTCGCAGATGGCGTGCAGTGGGTCGCGCGACTGCGGATGCCAGATATGGGAGAGGCAATTCGCCGAGAGCTGCTCAGCGCACGCCGGACGATGGAAGTAGAGATTGTGACGATGGCGTATTTGAGGTAAGATCATGAAATACTGGATCTCCAATCAACTTGCTGACAAAAAGACCAGGAAGCACACAAGCATTCCCGTCCCAGGAGTCCACACATACTGCCTCGACGCCAATACCAAGGTCGGCGCGCCCTACATGTTCATGGACTACATCCACGGCACGGTTGCCCAAGATCTCGCCGAGGTCAAGGACTACGATCTTCAGACCAACACTGCCTTCTGGAAACAAATGGCTGAAATACAGATCGAGCTCGCCAGCTGCACATTCGATCGCATCGGCAGCCTCTACAACATCGACGACAACTTCACGATTGGACCTGAGCTGATCACCGGCAAAGGACCATGGAACACAGCCGAGCAATACTGGAGTGACCTGGTCAAGAGCTACCACACTACTGCAGAACAGCAGGGCAGCCTGCAGCTCAAGAACAGCCCATCGTTTCAACTTCCATCGAAATTCCTCAAACTCATCAAATCGTACGGAAAACTTGACCAGAAGAAATTCTGCCTCGTCAACCGTGATTTCCGAACCCACAACGTCCTCGTCAACGACAACTTCGAGATTGTAGGCGTAATGGACTTCAAAAGCGTCGTGGCAGCTCCGATCGAAATGGTGGCACAATTTCCATCCTTCTCGGGCCTTGACAGACCCATGCCATTTTACCAGGAAATCAAGAAGGGAGCGCGTACGCTAGATTGGATCAAAGCGACGCAACCTTATCTTGATAAATACGTCGACAACTTGCGAAAGGCAGCTGAAGCTTCTTCGAACAAGGAAGATATGCTGGAGATCGTTCAGTGGATGATGGAAGATGGAGCAAGCATCCTCGAGGGTCTGCAGAAGTATCGTCAGCATTGGTTGTTCGTCAACGAGGCTTGGTGGAAGGCATATGAGAAGCTGGCCGAAAAGAAGGAGATGGAGGCAGAGGACAAGAAGAATCAGTAGAAGGATGCCAGTATCGTATACGATAGCATAGCAAAGCCGAGAAAAGTCAATTGGGACCCTTCATCATGGATATATCAATCGCACGCAACGATATGATCAAAAGCATACAAAAGCAAACAAAAGCAACACCTCCAGATCCAAATGATCGATCGAAAGCAACCTTTCTCTGATAGGAGGTGGCTCTCGAAGCTTATGGACCTGAACACAACGCCCGAATGCGTCTTGGACAATATCCTGAAGCAAGGCTGCAGCTACCAATTTCTCTGAATACAGTGGGGATTCGATGCTTCTTCGTACAGCTATGGCCCGAAAGTCTGCCGCCGCGCTGAGGTGGAGCGACTGCTACAGTCCGCCAGAAAGTACATCCTCTCCGGCATAACGGATCTGATCAAGCCTGCAGGGCTGGCCACGGCAATGAAATGCGTTTTGAAAGATTCCCTGAGACATAACCTGACATACAGCTTTCTCTGAACAGGCCCAGACGTCCCAGCTGCTTTGTCTGAGTTTTGAGCGAGAGTGTGCCGCTGTGTCGAGATAGAGTGATTCTTACAGCCCGACCAAAAGTACACCGTCTCCGGTCTAACGGAGCTTGGGCGGCCTACAGGCCTCGCCACGGCAATGGAATGCATTTGAGATAATTCTCGGAGACGTGGCTGCAGGTACAGCTTTTTCTGAAATGCAGCAGAGAATCTATGCCGCCTCATCTTGATATACGACAAAAGTGTGCCACCGTGTCAAAACAGAGCGATCGTTACCGTCCGCTGGATGGCACACCGTTCTCCAGCAGAACGCAGCTTGTCAAGCCTACGAGGCTGGCTCCGGCCGTGAAATTCGTCTCAGACGCTATTTTGAGACATGGCATCAAGTACAGCTTTCTCTGAACAGAGCGGATGCTTCCTGCTTCTTCGTCTGGATATAGGACGAAAGTGTACTGCATTGAGGCAATGGAGCGATTGATACGGTCCGCCGGAAAGGGCACCCTTCTCTGGTAGCAATGAAGCTCTCCAAGCTAATTTACCTGGACACAGCTTGGCAATACGTCTTGGATACTGTGCAAGACAACATCGCAGGAATAGCTGTCTCTGGATACGAACAAGAGTCTCAGCTCATTCGCCTAGCTACGGGACGAAAGTATTCTGTCGTATCAATGAGGAGTGATTGTCCTCGTCTGCCTGCAACTCTACTGTGATCAGCAATTCCAGATCCACCTTCACGTGCATATAAACATTGTCGTCCTGTTCAAAGATTAGGCCCAACAAACAATCGCGGCCGGCAAGCAGCACTTTGTGCTCGATCAATGATTCGTACATGGAGGCTCCTATTGCTGATACATGATATTGATTGTAAATGCATACGAGCAAACTGTGTTGATATATTTCAAGAGGAATACTGATGCGTACTGCCTAGTGATACAGCCAGGGAACGCAAAGCTTGTTTCAATTACCACCTCAGCGTCCTCAGCTATACTCATGCAACCTTTTCAACAATATATGTTCCATTATTCAATGCCTGAACTATTCATCAAGCCATTTTATCACCAGATACTGATGCCAAGCATGGATGGAGTGAACGAGTGACGTGCATAGTCGCCAGCCTGTGACCGTTCACTCGATGCTTGGCAGCCCACCTTCGAGCACCCTTCTTCCCGCGAAGCTCGCTCGTCTTCTCTCATCAGACACACACACACCAAGTGCATCGTTGAGCTTAGCAACTCTCGCCTTCTCGCTCCCACTACAGCCTACGACGCGCACATCAATCCCTTAGATCCTTCTCCACAAACACACTCACTCCAAGTCTCGAAAAAATGGCCTCGAACTCGAACTCCAACGCGATGGGCCGCCTCTTCTGCGCATACAACAATGTGGCCATGGTAAAGCTGTCCGATGCCCAGGAGCAAGAACTGCTCCAGGATCTCCTCGACGACGCAAAGATCATCTTGAAGGACCCGGGTACATATACCGCAGCCACTGTCCTCCCACTTTGCGAGCAACTCGAGTCAACGCTGGAAGCCTACAACGCGTCTATAGATGGACCTTATACGGGCACTTCATCAATGCCACCTCCACCAGCGCCTCTTCATCGCAAAGCTGCCGCTCAGCCACAGCCTGCTGACGACGGAGACGCAACCACCTCCTCCCTTGGCGTCGTTGGAGGTAAAGAGGTGATTCCACCCATGTCAGACGACGAGATCGACTCCTTCCTCGCTTCCGCCACATACAAAACCCTGGTCCCACCCTGCACAACAATCATCAGAGCCGCAGAAAAAGGCCGATGGATCGAGCTCCGCTGCCGCACTTGCGGAGGAAACTGCACGCAGGCCGGGCACACACCACTACGTGGTCTGTCCTCATTCTCCACACATATGCAGTACTTCCACGGCATTCCGCGTGCCTCGGATGCCCAGACGCTCAAACAGTGCTCGTTCAGAAACGTCGAAGAGCTGGAGGTGCGGGCAATCCTCGCGATGGGTACTGCTGGTGCGCCGTTTGTGGAGCTTGTGGAGGTGAGCAAGGAAAAGAAGATGGCTTCAGCTGGTAAGGGTACCACAGAGGTGGTAGAGATGCGCAAGAAGGGTGGTGGAACGAAGAAGGTCGTGGTGAGACAGGCGAGAGACCAGGATAGAGACGACTACATGGGTGATGTTTCTTCATCGACGGCGCCGCAAGCCAGTCTCACCACCACTGACGATAGCACTGGACGCCGCAGCTCCAGAATCGCGGACAAGAAGAGAGCCATGGAGCAGGCAGATGCCCAAGAACCTGCCGCTCGTCCTGCGAAGAGACAGCGAAAGTCGCGGATGAGCGATGAGACGGCAGAGTATGAGGTGGATAGGCTGTGGTACGATGTGGAGGAGATGGTGTATAAGACGGAGCAGAATGTCTGGCTGGCGGACTTGAACGGCAAAGCAGAAGAAGCTGGCTTGTTGGAGGGTCGAGCTCCGATGCGAATGTAGGCTGGAAGAAATGAGGAAGGCAGCTCCAGCATAAGACAAATGATGGCATAAATGAGACACCTTGAGACATGGCTGAGAAACAAAGCTTTTCGCAACAGCATAAATACCGTACTCCTTCTTGCATGCTCAAAGTGCTGTTGACCTCTGCTTCTCTTCTCGCGTACACAGATCCTTTCTTCTTTCACACCGTTCGATATCTCCTCCTCCTCAGCCTTCCACGAATGCATCAAGCCAATCAGCAGTCGCTGATAGGACCCATCGTCGCCTTCGTATCCTTTCTTCCGCACCATCCCAGCCAGTGACCAACACGTACTTTCATGCCCACGAGCGCTCCTGGCATTCCACGCAAACGCTTGTCCCACGCACCCTTTCTGCCCGCGACCCAGAACCTTCATTCATTGAGCACACCACCAGTAGGCATTCGCCCTCGACGAGCTCGAACACGCACGGACGGCTCTTCGCGGAACACGCCTTCACTGCGAAGACGATCTTTGCTAGGGCGCCTATTACCGCCGGAAGGCTGATGAGCATGCTCAGCTGTGCCCTCGGGCTCGATCGCACAAGGTGCAGCCATGTCATTTTCGCTCCGCAGCTGCCCGACTGATAATCCATTCTCTTCCGAACGTTAAGCACAAACCTGGTGTGCGGGTCTAAGAGAGATAATCAGGCAGCCAGGTTTCGTCTCTCTTCACCGGCGCTACTGTTTGATCCAAAGCCTCGAACCAAGGAGAGGAACATTGCCGATAAGCTATCGCTCCGAGCAACTTCTGCGACATTGCAAAGTCAGCCAGAGATTGAGTCAGGACTGTCAAGACCATTACCTTCAGCGCCGCCGCCACATCGGTCTACTCGGATCCGGGCTTCTTCGCTTCGTGGTATTCATCAGGCTCTCCACTCCGTGAGCTTGGATTCGGACGCCGGCTGCGCAGCATCTTCTTGTCGTTCAACGTTTTCCGCTGCGCTCCGCCATTCACGCTCTTGCTGCTCAAGCCCTTTCAGTGGCCAAGTCTGCTGCGGGACCACTGCACACTGCTCGCGCCTTCGACACGATGTGCGCTCCTCGTTCTCGGTATCGATCTAGGGACCAGAGGAGACGGTGTGGCTGATTCTGGAACTGGATTGAGATGGCTTCAGCGACATCGAGGCCCGGAGCTGGGATTTTCGGCAGAATGGCAGAATGACAGCGCCGACAATCGGGCGGACACTTTATGAGCTTGATCGATGCTGATTGAAGTCGGAAATCGTAGCCATGGCAGCTAGAGTGCTTCTACGAGGCAGTGCCAGCAAGATTGACCAGTCTTCTAGATCTGATGGCCTAACCTCTGGCTGCTCTGAAAGCAAGTGGCCCGTACCTTGGTGGACACACGCTGGCTGAATGTCCAACGTCTTGCTGACTCTGTTGGTTGACGGCAATCGCATGAGCAGGCGGGTCGCTTTCTGTTGGCAGTCGCATCGTTCTTGGGTTGGAAAAGCCATGTGCATCGTTGAGAAACAGCAAGTCGGTATCGATCAACTCTGAATTCGTAATCTTGGGATCCATCTCCTCATCCATCGCCAGGATGCCAAGGCATTGTGTTTCGGCGCCTCGATCGTTGGCTTGACTGCGAGGGTTTGTCAGTTGTTGGCTTCCTCTCACGCTCTCTGGATGGAGCTTACAGCAACATATGAAGGTGAGGGCACCTTCGTGGCTGAAGCTTTCTTGTCGCTCTGCTGAAGCTCTGTCCAATGTGTCGCAAGCTTGATGGAATTTCGCCGCCTTCAGTCGCAGTGCTTGTCTGTCCTCGCGAAGAGACCTGGTCAAGACCTGAAGTGAAGTGCCTCGTGAGACGATCCGCCCAAGCAAAACAACGATCTCCAAAGATCACGACCCTTTCCGGTCCGCCAGCTTCGTGAAGCCGCCCAGAGGCCACCAACGAGGAGGTTGGAATGAGATTTGACCTCCATTACCGCTCCGAACGGCTTTCATGCGGTTTCTGCCGCATGCGGACCACAGAACAAGCCATTACAGCTGAGTCTGCGATGAAGTGTGAGAGTCAACGACGTTCTCATGGCATTCGTCGGTACTCCTCAAAGCGGAAACCGCCGAGGACCATGCGTTCCAGAGAACATGCGCCTCATCTCGCCCCTCTTCCTCGCGCCGGCATCAGCTCTTATTGCCTCGTCTGTTGCCATGCGTTCCTCCCACACCACGCGAGCGACGATGCCTCGTGCTTCGAGCGAGCGGATTGCGTTCACGCATCGGTGGGTGAGCGTTGGATGGTGTATTTGGATATACCCATCTCGCCCACCGCTCAGTGGGATGAGCCCGTGTTGGGGCCCGTACGCGTATCTCACCTCGTCGACAGCGTCCTTGCAATCGGAGCGCACGGTGATGTGGAGATCAGCGATGGCAGCAGCTGACAGTTGATGGACGACGTCAACGGCAAAGTCCAGAGCCTTCATGATGCCGGTGAGCTCGGTCGAGGTGACATCGCGGGTCACCGGCAGGGCCCAGCATTCTCCAAAGCGCGAGGGACTGCGCTCTGGATCACGCATCACCCACGCGCAGCCCGCAAAACCTCCAGCAACGCTGGGGTCATTGCGGTTGTAAGGCCGCACGCTGCCGTCGGCCCAAAATTCCCAGTGTTTGAATCTGTTGGACAGTCAGCGAGATTGAGACAGGGCGGCGTTGAGGGAGTGCGGCGGAGCGGAGAAACGAACGGCATCGTCATCGTCGTCTTCGTCGTCGTCGTCATCTTCTTCTCTGTCTTGGTCTTCTCGTTCTGCGTGGTTTTGGTATTCGTGGGCAGGTAGAGGGCGAAGCCGCGTGAGGCAGGCATGTTTGTTTTGCCCACTAGCGCGGATCGTTTCGACTTCACACCATCCCTGTCCATGCTACCAACGCTCGCGCAGCTGCGGCGGGCGCTCACTATATAGCTAAATGGATTATACCACCTCATGCAAGACCAGCTACCGAAATCGATTCTGCGCTACATCAGGTCTCAATCGATACACTGCTTGCAACCCAGGGAGCTCCCATCCGCAACGCGCAGTCGGAGAAGCATCCGCGTGAGGTCAAAATCACAAAGGCGTTGTCCTTGAGAGATACCATCATGAATCGACATCAAAGAAACTATACAACATACTGCAACACCATTATAATCATTCCCTTACGGCTGCCCGGCAGACCCAACAGGAGATGGAACCTGGATGTACAGCACTATTGTTGCTGCTCAGAGCGATGAGATCATCTACAGCGCTTGGACAAGTGACTTGTCTCCACCGACAGTGACGTGCCCATATGAGCGCTCGTGACTGGACAAAGGCATTGTGTTCGCTCGCAAGTTAATGACTGCAAGTGAAGCGTGATGTGTTCACAGTCACAGCGTCGTCGAAGGGTTATAGGGATGCTCTCCTTCTACACTCTTACACTTCTCTTCTCCCATACAAACAGCCAACCCGAGAACACTACCCCTGCTGCCGCAGCTGAAGTACAACCAACCGAGCAACAGCAGTACAACGAACGAACACATCCATAAATCAAACCACAATCATGCCACGTACACGTGGTCCGGCGCTCCGGGCTCCTCGCCAACGTCTCCCCACCGACGGAGGACGCCGTGTTCCGCTCATCCATCCCGGAGACCGGGCGACCAACAGAACCGTTAGGCGGGGCCAAGCAGCAGACCTCTACCTGAACACAAGTCTGGAAGACGACGAAACACGCATGAATGACCTTCTGGGTCCCCGCCTCCCAACATGCGAGGAGCTCTATGAGATGGGGCTGGCCGTGGAAGAAGAGAGCCGACTCGCCGCGGCAGAAGAGGAGATCAGGCGTGAGCACGCCATTGCGCAACGCATCGAGAAGCTCAAGGGAATGCGCGTCCAATTAGCTTCTCACAGAGAGAAGCTTGTTGACAGCTTCAACAAGGAGATGGCGGTATGGAAGGCAGTTCAACCGGAGAGACATGCCAAGTTCGAGGTTCACATGAGAGCTGCTGAACTAGCCACGACTGGATCCGCACGCCGTGTCGACATGCTCCGCTGGTTTCCGGGACTTGCGCCAATGGTGAGAATCGCGATCGAAGACATGCAGACATATGCGCACAAAGACACCGAGCTCATGTACCAGATCGCTTGCTTCGAGGAGAAGCTCGAAGGCGCTGTGGCCTTGCATGCGCTCGATCCAGAAACCTATCTGACCGCTCATCGAGACCGAGCCAAGACCAAACGTGACGGTAGCCGATACGAGATCTTCGGTTTCAACCTCAAGCATCCTGACCTGTCCAATTTCCAGGAGAACCAATTCGAGAACGAGTTCCCAGGCCGCGAGATTCAACGTCTGCAGGCCATTCTGGGTAATTTCATGGTTCGTCGCACGCTCCTGGAGGGAACAGGCCTTCAAGCTCGTCACGACGATGGCCGCCGTCCGCGCTACGACGAGCACTCGATTAACAAGTTCTGCTACACGGCAGATTGGGACATGATCGCGTGGTCGGTCGACGCACTCGCTCTCCTTGCGCAACTTCGGCCTGAGTACAAGCAACATGGTGATGCATCGGTTCCACAGCTCCTCGAATCCATGATCCATACGATAGCCGAGTACGCCCGTAAGATCGACACCGTCGGCTACTTCGACTTGAAGCGACAGATTGCTCTACACTATACCCCTCGTCTTCTGGCACTTCGGCAACATCTCACGCAGTTGCGGTTTGACGGAGCGGATGCGGAAGGACGTAAATGTCTGTACGAGATGCAGGATGAAGTCTGGGCGATGGGTAGAGACTTTGACGAGTTCGAGAAGAAGCATGGCGATATGCTTGGTCAGGATTGGCGCCGGCTGCAAAGCGAATACATCGACGACATCACCTCTGTGGCTCCTCCTGTCTCGTGGACTGACGAGGACGATGAAGAGTACCTTCATCGATCTGGCCACCCAGATGAAGACTATCCTGAGAGCGAGGGCGAGGCTGAGGCCGAGGTAAACGATGCAATCATGGACGCCGCAATGGTGGACTAGGCTGCATAAGCCGTGACACCTAGCCGCGAAACCACCTGCTGACCATTGAGCGCTGATTGACCGCAAAATTGACAGACCGCCTGGAGAGACAGGCCGATCAATTGGATCATGAGCAACGTGCAGGATCACGAATAGCTGCGAAACACACTTGGCAGCTGAGAAAAGGAGCTTTTATTTCTGTTTAGCATATATATTTTGGCATAAACTTTGGCGTAGGCTTTAGGCATCGCATGATGGGAGGTATTAATACAATCGCATCGTTGAGACAACGAAGAACTCTCCTACTTCTCCCACATAATATTGTTCCAATCGTATAAGCTGCGGAGATAGACTCCACAGGGTAGACTGATTTAGTTTTGAGTTTTCCTTTCATGCAGCTCGTGCATTTTTACCTGCTGTTTCGAATGGCCAGTCGGCCAGAGCTCCTCCTTCCTCGTTTCTCGTTTCGTGCTGAGAAACCGCATCCTTAGTCCGCAAGGAGTTTGGTGAACGATGATCGAAAAGATTACAAGATCCTGCTATCGCTCTAATGACTCCAGTTGTTGGTCATTGTTTGGACCGCGGGGCACATATAATAGACAATGTAGCTCCTTCGCTGCATGCACAAAGCAACCTCACCCATAGTTAGACAAAGGCTTTGTGCGCGCTCGCAAGTTGATGTCTGCGAGAACAACTGTAATATGTTCACGCTCGCAAGTTAATGTCTGCGAGAAGAACCGTTATGTGTTCACGCTCGCAGGCTTGCCCATGGGTTAAAAGCAGGCTCTTCCTCAGCGATCTTCAACTTCTCATACAAACAAACACCCTAAGAAAGCTACCACTGTTGCTACAGCTCAAGCACAACCAATCGAGCAACAGCAGCACAGTTACTACCGCTTTCTATCAACTTTCGACATGCCACGTACTCGTGGACCAGGCCAGCGTGGCCCTCAAGCACGCCAGCCTCCCCAAGGACGCCGCCACGTTACTTGGGACCTCTCCGACAATCGTGCGACTGGCAATGCCGCTCGTCGTCGCCGCACCCCCAACGTTTTCTTGAACACCAGCCTGGAAGAAGAGGATCCAACCCCTGCACCACCTCCATCTCCCGAGGGACCGCAGCTCACAGAAGAAGAAATCGAGGCTATCGAGCGCCTAGAAGACGCCTTGGAGGAGCATGCTGAGATGATGGAACTCCAGGAGGCGGAAAAAGCCCGAGACAAGAAGGCCAACGACCGCATCGATGCAATCGACGACGATCGTCGGGAGCACCACAAGATGAAGCAACCTCTGCTCGCTGAATTTTCTAAGGCTTGTGAACAGTGGAAAAAAGCAGACCCTACTGAGGCCGAGACGTTCAGAATATACTGCAATGAAGTGGTGTGCGCAGCGACTGAACCAGTCCGCATGTACGACATGCTCAGCTGGTATCCAAAGACACCGAAGGCTGTATCTGAAGCCATCCACAGCCTACAGGTGTTCCACCACGAACAGGTCGACTTCACCTACAAGATGCGTCTACTTGAGGAACACCACTACGGCGGAGCTGTTCCCGGTCACAACCTCCACCCGGAGGTGTATCATGCCTCTCGTCGGGACCGAGCGGGGAAGAAGAATGGCGAAGGAGACTTTCAGACATTCGGCTTCGATCTAAAGCACCGCGATCTTGCTGAGCTTGAAGAATACTTCGACGCATGGACAGACATCGACGCGCCGGGTCTCGAGCAAGCTCGCATCCGACGAATTGTTGCAAATTTCCGTGTCCGTCGAACGCTCTTAGAAGGCACTGAACCAGGCGCCCACCACAAAGACCGCCGTCGTCCACGTTTCGATCCTCTTGGTTTGATCAAGTTCTGCGACACTGCGGAGTGGGACTTGATGGATTGGTCGCTACAAGCTCTGGGTCGTATGAGATACAAGCTTCAGCCAGTCTACGAGCAGCTACAAGACCGTAACATCATGAAGTTGCTTGACCTCACCATCACAGAGATCCTCGAGTATCTTCCAAAGCTCGACAAGATCGAACTCCTCGAAACCCGAATGGTTATCGACACGACCTTTGCCAACAGCTTCGCTCCACTGTGGCAAGTAAAGGCCACCATGGAGCTGCCTGGTGCACCCGCTCAGGCTCGAGACGCCTTCTTGCAGCAGAAGGACAACATCTGGAGAATGGCCCTGCACTTCGACAAGTTCGAGCGGACTCACGGTGATACGATCCTTGACCATGAATGGCGGCGGATGGTGCACGCCAATAGCGACCTCATTGGCACTCGACCTCCTCCCGCTTTTTGGACGATGGACGACGACGAATACATTCGTCGCAGTGGTCACCCAGACGAAGACTGGCCACCAACCGAAGACGAGAGCGAGGATGCGGATGAGATGGACGAGGCGGCATAAGCTGTAGGACCACGCATGGGAGGTCAACAAGACTGACATGAACAGCACGCGCCGCAATTGACAGACTACCTGGAGAGACAGGTACAACTTCTTGCTTCTGGAGAAGCTTGAAGCATGGGCAGTCAGCAGGACTGGTACTGGCTCAACATCGCATTTGGGACTTGGGCGTAAGGGTATCACTTAATAACCGGCATACATACTATCGCATCTAGCATAGAGCATACACTCAGCGTATGGGCATCGTGAATAGAATCGCATCGTTCTGAAATAAACAGACTTTCATCCAGTATCACCACACACATGACCTCAACACCGCAATACAGACAGTAATGTTCCACTGCTACGGTTGTCCTTTCACTGTATCTGTATATTCAATGTAGTTTCATGCCCGCACTGTTCTGACACTTTCTGAGCAAAATTTGCTCACACGACGTATGGTGACAACAGTGAAGGGCTGCCAGATGCAGCGATCCAGCCGGCGGATGGAATGTCGCTGGAAGGGAGGAAGTGATCGGGCGAGAGGATAGAATACTGGAGAGAAGAGGCGGAAGGTTGGCCATTTCCAAGGTTGATACAGGGCGGGATGATGCCATCAGATCAGTCGTTGGCAGCGATGGTGAGAACAATGGACGTCCGGCAGGTTCGTGCTTGCCAGACGGCTCGCGATCATCAGCAGGACACGCACCTCGAGCTTCCGATCTGACAAGCCGAAAGTGGGAGAATTACCATTCAACTGTGACTGATCATTCTGACGCCATGTATAAATTCAGAACTTCTTTACATCTCTCTCAATTACAAGCCAGCGTCCGGATCGATGGGCATGGACGACGAGCTTCGCGAGACTTCATACGCAGAAGAAATCAAGACTCCTGGAGATCACTTCTGATTTCGCCTTCTTGTCACAAATGCCAGATCTTTGTCAAAGCTGCAGCCAGGCCGAGAGTCATCGATTGCATTGTCGCAGCAAAGCTGGACAAACAGATCGAGAGTGCCAATCCTTCCGGCGGACTAGATCTCTTCGACATGGCAAGATCACGCAAGTTCTATCGAGAAGCTGGAGATGCAGGCAGCCAGTCCACCTCTGACGCAGGCATGCAAGTCGTATGCCGTTTTCCCTTCATGTCAGTCGACGGGTGGAAAGAAAGTTACGAAGGGCCTGTCCCGCCGCCATATCAGAGCGCAGATTATGCCGATCGTTCAACAACGTCCACAGGCTCAATACTCAGATATTTTGACTGCTGCATCACAGCGAGCAGTGATCATTGTGTCCAAAGTCGGTCCAATGTTGATGCCTCAGGCATCAAGTCATGGTGTTGGAGGCGTTGCCGACAGACTTCGGGACAGCCGATGAGCTTGATCCGACCTCTGCTGCTCCTCCCCACGCACGTCATTGACTTGTGCTATTATTCTTACGCCTCAGACATTCATTGGAACTTGACTCAAAGCACATTGGGGAGCTATTGGACCTGAGGGGAGGACTCTGAGGACCATATCCATGACCAGCAAAGGTCTTCTGCGAGTGCAGCGTCAGAGCCAAGACCGCGACCTACAAGCTCCAAAGTACAAGAGCCCAAACTACAAGAAGACTCAAGAAGTCATGCCGCCGACTACTCTCATGTCGTTATCTGACGAGCTTCTCGCCCACCTCTGCAGCTATGCCATGACCCACCAGCCGCCTCCTCCAATTACCAAAACGACATCCTACCTACAACACCCGCCTCCAGGCTTAATCTCCGAACAAATCTCAAAAACGCTCCGTGGCCTTCTTACACCCTTCCGATGCTGCAGCCGGCTCTACCGTATCGCAAAACACCAGTTTCTCGAATCCAACATCATCCTTCTCCATCTCAGCGATATTCGTGGCTCAGCAAGCAGGCTAGAGTTCACCTCTGGAACTTCGCAGATGATCATGACCGGCAACCCTGAGACTTTGCTGCGAAACCTTGTACACGTTGAGCTTGTCGTCAGCATCTCCGACATGCGAGCACCTTTCAGTCAACCTTTCGCCTCTAGAACTTCTGGGAAATTGTGGAAGAGCGGAAGTGATGTGTTGAGTTTGAACAGGGAAGCGCAGAATTTGAAGCGCCTTGCTGTGCTGTGTCCAAATTTGAGAACGCTGCATGTTTGTCTCAAGGTTGATGAGTGGGTACTGTATGGCAAGGGGCCGGAGTTGAAGAGGAAGACACAGGAGGAGGTGGAGGCTGGCAATGCCAATGATGCTGGCAGTAGATACTTGAGGCTCGCGGAGTTGGTTGTGGAGCTGGCGAGGGAAGTGGAGGTAAAGTTCGTGACGGTTTCGTTCAATCATTGGAGGAGTTCGGCGGAGGCTGTAGATGTGCGAGAGAAGAGTCCGGAGGAAGTCCTGGATGCTTGTATTGGGAGCAGTTTGCATGAGACCTGGTTTGGACCTATTGCGAGGATCGGATAACTCGGCATTTCAATGAATGCTTTCATAATCGCAGACGAAGTCCTGCTGTCCATGGTGTTTATACGTATCCTCATCCGCACCCTTACCTTTGATTGTTCTCAGACCCCAGTACTTCGCTCCCCGGCGTGTCGTACCATGCCTTGCATTTGTCACTGCGCACCTCAAACACTTGTCTGCGTCTTCAGCTGTTCATACTCGAAGGGGCTGTGGCAGGCAGAGCTTCCTCTGCTCTGGCAACTATCACATGCAATAGCTCTTGTTCTTCGTGGCTGATGCGACCATGCGCAAGGGCAGGGTGCAGCGGAATGATGTCCACGCTGCTCACTCCCTTGCGTGTGGGAAACTCCTTTTGTTGTCAAGAGGGTGCGGGTTTGGGCGCTTGCAGGCCTTTCAACCGGCGTCTCGTTGAGGAGATCTGTACGACGTGGTCATGCGAGGTCTTGAGAGTCGGCACTGGATCAAGAAAAGAGGCCAGCTAGAACGAGGCTGGACATCGATACTGCGGCTTTGCACTGGGTTGCTTGATGTTCTTATCTATCTCTCTTGTGGGGTCGAGCTGCTCTTCCGGTGCTGGCGCCACTCTCAATGTCTGCCGCAAGCTTCCACAGATCTTGCCCGTTGCCAGACCTCGTTGTGCTCGCCTGCCTCCCATCAGCGGTGGCAACACCATGGCTCCTGATACAAAGGCGTGCTCGATCGTGGTACTGTGGCCTCTCGGAGAGCTCGTGCGTGTGATACTGTTGTTGTCGTTCCCATGTGGTACGTGGATGCCCTCCAACCTGCAGGCTACCTCCAGCCAGACCCTACCCCTCCTTGCCCGTCCTCCTCCCGCAAGCCCCTCACCACCGAGCTTCGGCCGCCTTCCTCACTGCCACGCCATTGAGCAATATATTTGCCGCCAATGTTGAGTACATTATCAATAACATGTCGAGGTAGTGTAGTGGTCAACACATCAGGCCTGTAAAGTCCCCCAAAGGCAAGCGGCGGCGGCGGCATGGCATGGCAAAGGCGATTGGCAATGGTGGTTCTACACGGTTCCTGATAACGTCAGTTCGAATCTGGCCCTCGACAAACATTCTTTTTGGACTTTTCGAGTGATGTCGAATATCCTTTTTTTGCTCCGCCCTCGGTCTGAAACGTGGTGGTGCTTTTGGCCATTAGATGCGCAGATGCGACGGTCTCTGCTTGCGAATTAGTAGTGGAGATAATGATGTGTTGTGCTTTTGCTCTTCAAATGCGACATTGCATTGTGTTTTGCAACCCTTCCAGCCGCCAAGGATGAACTCCTTTCACGGCTTGTTTTTGCCTCGCTCAACGATATCACAACTGCTGCCTGCCACCAACTGTGCAAATACAAGCCTTGTGATGCCCCATGTAGCAGCAGAGATATCATTTCGTTGGACCTCGTGCACCTGAGCAGATGGTTGAGGCTTTGTTCCACGGCGCTGGCAGCCGTGAAGGATTGAAGGACCGCGGGCATCAGCAACGACAAATGTGACAAGGCTAATAGCAACAGCTTGTGTATTTCTCGCGCGAGACGGCGCTACTTGTCACTGATGAGCGGCGTGGATGAAAGTCTACCTCTACAACATCTCTGTCTGATAAGGCCACCTGCTCCATTTGCAGCAGCAGCTATTGCAATCTTGCCCCCTTGATCTTCTCTCGCCGCATGGCTCAAAAGGTGGGAGATGTACTCAATTAATCCTATCGTGATGTTGAGAGCTTTTCTACATTCGCTGCTGCAGTATTGATGGCGGTGCTGCAGCGAGCTGCAAAAATTCGACTTTTGCTCAATAATCACGTCACATATCGCGTTGTCAAAACAATCCTTCCACCCCCATCCACATTCTCATCCGCTCGATATCTCCATATAGCGCGGCAGCAAAAGGGTATCTGCATCTGAGAAAAAGGGCCGACCATTCGTGATCTATTTCCGCCCTTCACCGCCGCAAAAAGCAAAAGGAACTCTGAAAAAAGAATTGCCGCGACTCAGAATTGAACTGAGGTCATCAGATACGGGTTGCCAGCCCCGCCCAGTCAGACTAAGACGGTGCCGTTGCCAGCGGTCGCCGAAGCCACCAGGGTGACTGGGACTTTGGCCCTCTGATATGCTTTCCACTACACCATCGCGGCGATTTTTGTTGAAGGCAGCAGTGGAAGGCGGGTATATATTGCTCAAATGACGTACAGGGGAAGTGAAAGGTATTGGGAGTGTCTATTTGAGCTCCGGCGGCTGGAGCATAGTGGCATTTCTACTGGTACGGACCTGCAGTTCGTCGTTTCTGGATATCATACCGATTCATCACGCAGTGATACTGGACGCTGAAGCACTGATACAACAGTGCTTGATCACCATCAAAACGGGCTCAAAGAAGGGGCGCCCGCGTGGCATGGTACAAGCTTCCGCATCCGGAAGACAAAGGGAGTGTGATCGGTGAGGGATACTCGTAATCATAGCATTATTCATCGCTCTATCTTTGATCGTCTATACCGCGCGTATGGCTGTCGCTTCACTGCCACTTTTCCGCGGCTCTGTTCTGCAGAGGGCGATCAATCATCTACCAACGCCTTCCCACCAAGCAACTATCTGCACCATCCTCACCACTTCTTACACTTCTTCCACACTCCCTCCGCACCCTTCCTCGTAGCACTCCGATAGCACCGCGCCGCCTCCTCTCTGCCTCGATTCACATACGCCACGCCATCCTGCATATCCCACTCCTGGATGTCATCACCGTTCTCATCCGCACCCATCCACGTCCAAAACTTCATATCGTCCTGCAGAAACCACATCATCTCCGCCGTGAGCTTGCCTCCTACCTCAATATCGTTGAAGATCTTTAGCGTCTTCTGGATCTTTGGCAGGATCTCGTCCTGCAGCATCCACTGTGACTCCCTCGCAATGCGTGATGGAATCGTAGTGATGGCCGTGGAGGAGGCGCTCGATGCTGGTGTCTCGAAGAACTCCCAGATTGTGTTTTCTCCGTCGAGCGCCGCATCAGTGGCCCACAGGTATCGCTGCTGGAGGAGCGAGAATCGACGGCGGAAATTGATCGTCCAGCGCCGCAGGTAGTTGTGCTCACGGGGTGGTTTGACCGTGAGGTCCGTGTACCGCCAGAGGTATGGCTCGCAGATGCTGAACGACTCGATTTGATCAAAAGCCAGTTCAGGAAGGTGGGACGGCATGGAGCGGTACAGCTGCAATGGGTCGCGCTGGGTGATGCTGTAGTCCTGCGCGAGATCGACGTGCAGGTGAATGCTCTTTGCGAGGTATGTGGTGGTCTTGAAGAGATTAGCGAGTAGGGAGTATAGGTAAGATTGTGTGTTTACCTTCTCGGCGTCGAGGCGAAGGCAGGTGGTGATCTGCTCGGCTTCTTTCTCCTTGACCGCGCGCAGGACGTACTTCTTGTCGTCCTGTCCCTGGACGGCATAGCGCTCGATCAGGACGCAGAGGCGCGAAGGGAGAGTGTACAGCATTGTGTCTATGTCTGCTGTGGATGCGGCGGCCTTCGATCGAGCGACGAGTTGAGAAAGCATTTTGTAGGCGGGAAGGAGACTGAACCTGGCGAAGGGTGGAGAGGGGGAGATCGCTTTGTAGAGCTCGAGCGCGCGTGCATGTGCAGGGGGTGATAGCAAAGATCGATGCGATTGACGGCGGAAGAGATATATCGATGAGAAGGCAGACTGGCGCGCAGCTCGTGAAGGTATACTAGCGCGATTCACTGGACAGGGGTCCGCAACGCTTCACGCTTCACATTCGCCAACAAAACAGTGAATGGCGGTTCAAGCATGTGTAAAAGGAAGTGTGATATATGATGAAGATTGCGCAGAAACGTGATGGATCATTGAGGAACCGCAGGTGTTTTGAGTAAGCTCAATGTTTGCGGGAGCTGCTTGCTGCGCCCACGAGCAAGCGTTCAGACCGTCAAAAAGAGCAGCTCTCCGGAAACCGGCAATCTTGATCGAGTCCAACTGCCCAGAAACGAGGTGCGTGTATGACAGCGGCTTTTTGACGGCTGTAGTCTGTCTAAGCACTGTTGGAACCGCAGATGTCCAAGAGCAGTCGCAGGATGAATGATCACCAACGCGGCGCGAGAACTTCGCTGCTTGTGGGATTGGATTCTCAGATCTCAGTACTCAGCATCGTCAAGACCGAGCGCTCTAGATGCTCGTCTGTCCTTCGCTGTGCCATGCTGCGATGCCCTCTCGTTCCCGGCTGGCGCATTTTGCAAGGGTAGCATCCAACGAGGCTACCCGACCAACTGAACGGCTGCACCATCATGCCCAACAGCATGCGAAGCCATCGATAGACTTTCCGCCCTGCAGCAGTTCACCTCGCAACGCAGCGTCGACGTCAACTCAGGCAGCAACGCAAGGCTCGGCCAAGCCTGGCCCAAGCTTCCTCGCGCACAAAACAGTCGCCGCGCTCTTCTCACTTTCTCTCCTTCTTCTTCCTCAAAGATTGGTCGCCAGCGGGAGTGTCAATTTGTGGACAATGACTCAGTTGCACAATTTGGCGGTATGGACCGCACGCAGCACTTGGATGTTGGCACTCGCGGTCACTCAGCTCTCTTCGCTGCCCTCGGGCAACGATTCCATGAGAGGCTCTGAACGACCTGGCTGAACACTTTCATCAGCGAGAGTTGCCTATATCGAAAATGCTTTCTTGTTCCAGTTGTGCTCGTTGAGTTCATTGAGCATGATGAAGATCAGAGCGGACATTTCTCATAGCCTTTGATAGTCTCACAATGCCAATGCCATCTTCTTCTCACCGTCCTGCTAGTCATCTTGCACCCCGCCGCATCGAAATGCAACCTCAGGCGCGTCGCCGAAAGTGCGGATCGGCGGCTTGGCACAAGAATAAAAACGTGCTCTTCGTCGCTCGCTTTCTTCCCCTCTCCTCCTCAAGTATCCACAGGTGCGTTCGTTCAGAACGTCACGGCGCTCGCGGTCACTTCGCTCTCCTCGCTGCTTTCGAGCAACGATTCATGAGATGCTGAAAGACCTGGCTGGACACCTGCCAGCGAGAGCAGCCCAGATTAAAACACGACTGCCTATGTTCCTTCGTCTCTTCGAGGTCAAGGAGCAAGGTGCGCAGCAGTCGGACATTTTTCTGCTATAGCTTCGCAAGCTCTGTCTTCCATCCACATAGAGTCCATCAAATCATTCTTCTCGCACTTCCGCCGTCGCGTCCTCCCACCACACCTCGCCGTCATGACAACAGCACGTGTGCCAAGCCTGGCCCAAGCTTCGCAAGCACAAAAAGCCAGCCATCTTTCTCGCACTTTCTTCTCTTATTCTTCTCCTTCATCTCATCCGTCCCCGCGACGGCCGGCATGGAGCAATGGCATCAGGCAACTGGTTCTGGCTCTGGCAATTGGCAACGGCACTCACAGTCGCTCGACTCTCCTGCTCACGCGGACTTCATGAGAGCTTCGAAAGACTTGACTTCGGTCAGCAAGAGCAGCCCAAATCAAACACCATCACATCAATTTGGCAAGCCTTCGTCTCAGCTGAGTTCAATGAGCAAGGTGTGGCTTGATGCGAACATTTCATCCCTTTTGTAGCTGTTCAATGGATTCATCTCTCAATCTGACCGCTCTCTCAACAGTCTTCAATCGTTTCATTCTGTTGGTTGCACATTGGATGTCATTGCAGCTGACCTCGTCGCAGAGCGACCGTTGTAGGCAGAAGTGAAGAAGATGTGAAGTCAAGTTGTTCGCGCGCGCGCTGCAGGTGCGTGAGCTGCGGCCGCGCTGTTTACTCCGCCCCTCTTCCGCTTCGCTTCCTCCTTTTCCCAACGAACGACAGACATCAGAAGGCAAGCAGACATCAGACGCAAAACATCGCTCGATGTATCCACTGACAGAGAATAGCCATGGCACCAAGACAAGCTGTTTCCTGGTTCTCCGCCAACAACGACTACCTCGCGGCACCTCGTGCCATTGAGATCTTCACGGACGGCTCCTACGTCGATTGGAATCGTGCCGCAGGCTGTGGGTTCGTTTTTTGGGAGCGAGATCACTGGGCTTGCCGCGCTTTCGCTCTGGGCCAGGTGACTGGCTCCGCCGCCTCGAGGGGCCAAGGCTCACAAGACGCAGAGAAATGGGGAATTCTCTACGCTCTCGACTGGGTGAAGAGTAACTGGGCCCCCGCGGGCGAATTTGACGTCGTCATCCTGCGCGTGGACTCGACGTACGCGATCGGAGACATCGTTTGGGAGTACGAGCAGCGGAGTGAGCCCATGCACGACCCCATCGAGGACGAGATCGTGGACTTGATCCACCAGCTGGCAGACGCTGGCATCACGGTGCAAATGCTGCACGTTCCGCGAGACTCGTGCCGCGGCAACCAGTTGGCCGACTGGTGTGCCTGGAACGGCCGAGTGGCGACAGAGGAGGGGCACGATTCGTACGTGTACTTCGGTCGCGTGGAGGACTGATGGCGGACGAGTGATGGCAATGAACGGGTAATTCCACGAGCCACACGCGCTTCCGGCTGACTCTCCCTCGTACGGCCCAGCGGCATGCCACCACGGAGCAAGACATGCCTGGTTTCGATCTTGCGTGGACTCTGGGAGTGCCCACTGGATTCGGAACTTGCGCCAATTTCCCCATTTTCGACAGAGCCAGCAAAGCTCTTCACGCGACAGACCCACCACCAAGGCTCTATGGGTGGCTCCCAGAGAAGAGCCGGGGAACTACACACTGCAGAAGGAAAACTGCGTAACCAAACCCCCCTTCCGGGTCGGGGGCCGTCAGTCTGGGGCCAGGATGTGGAACAAGTCATTGCCCGCCTGGTGCCAGCTGGAGGCCCCCGCTCTCGGACTTCTTCAAGCCTTTTCGACAACATCTTGCCAACCAATCTCAAGGCAGCTCGCGAATGGAATTGTCAATTGTTCAGAGCGAGTATGATGGAATCGACGGTGGAATTCAGCACACCTGCGCCAATCAGCAGTACTTCTGGAATCAAGACACTTTTTCACGCGAATGGAGAACCAAACGCCACGGAGCTTGTTCTCTGGCACCCATCTGAGAACGTGTTTCGCTACGCGTTGCTCCGTCTCAGCAGACGACATCAAGCCAACACATCAGCAAACGCGTCTGAAGCTACTCAACACTCTTCGCCTGAGAATAGACGCAGGGTCTCATATCTCTGCTGGTACGCAGGTTCTCAAGGCAACAGACAACCAGATACAGCTGGGTTTGTCCAAAGCTGGTTACCTGAGAGCGCGTCTTGCTCTCTCCATCTCTGCTGAGCAGCGTCTCTCCAAGCCATCAGATTCCCGATTACCATTGCGTTCGCTCACCATTCTTCTCTTGAGAACGCAGCCAAAGATATCGAGCAAGCTCCCACTAGGCAAGCGGACAAGATGCCGAAGAACGATACTCTCGAAATCTGTCTCTACATCTCCGACAGTCAACACGCAGCGCAGATCCCACTGTTCACCACAAGCAAAAGCGAGACGCGCCTCTGTTAGAGAAGAAGTCGCTTGAGACAACGCGCGAGGAGAATCTGCCTGGAAGAGTGCACGGAGCCGCGATCGCATATCGCTTGAGACGCAGCTCGTTGCTGGAGCAGGTCCTGTTGAGCAGCTATGTTGAGACCAACGATGCACCCGCCCCCGAGGCCCCGCCCAAGTCCAGAAAATACGACATGCCATTCGCTGAGCATCTTGGAAGATCCCGACGAGCTGAGAAAAGACATGAATGGGCTTGTAGACCAGCAAGCGAGAGAGACACTGGAGCCGAGGCGTGTCGAGCTTGAGAAGAAATACGGGACTGACACCAAGTGCTTCCGTGCTGTTCTGTGTATCTCTGATGCAACACAACTCTTCAGGCCAACGAATCACAAGACACCCTTCAAGCTACTCAAGCTTCTTCACCTGAGAATGCGTCTTCATCTCTGTTTTTCTGCTGGACCGCGCCTCTTCAAGCCATCTACTTACAAGATGCGATTGGAGGTGCTTATCACTATCCGTTCGAGAGCGCCTGCTGCTCTTTCTGCTTCTGGATCAAGAAACCATCCCAGGTCACTCAAGCACCAAGTACTGTGAAGATCTTTCGCTGGCTTTGTTTAGTGAAGGCACCTGCGTGGCTGTGTTTCTGGGCCAATACATCTTCCAAGCCAACAAATCATCAGATGTTCTTGAGACTGCTCGTCTGTGGTTTCTGGAGAACGCCCTCTGCCCTCCGTGCTTCTGGAGCAATAAGCATCTTGAGGCTGACAGACCACAAAATACTGTCAAGACTTCTCCTTGGTCTTCATCAGAGAAGGCGTCTGTCTACCTGTGCTTCTGGGCCAAAACACCTTTCGAAGCCGACATGTCGTCAGATACTGTTGGCAATGCTTGACTTCCTGGTTCTGAGAGGTCGCCTCGTCATCCACGCAACTGCATATTGCAAAATGCACGGCATCGCACCAGACACAGTGCAGGCTCCGGGCCCAGCAGATCCGTCTGTGCAAGGTACTCTGCGGAACAGAAAGAATGAGTAGGAATGTGGGGATGTGATCAACAACCTCGGACTCTTCAATGCATGCAATTGTTCAAGCCAACGATTGACACGTTTCGGTTCCAAGCATTCAGGATAACTTGCAGCATTACTATGCCACGACCACTTTGAACGCGGACTCTTGCTAGCAGAAAGACCACAGGCAACGCAGCAAGCCTCGACACCGAGCCTCCACACAGAGCCAAGAAAACATGTGTTGCGGAGCTTTCTGGACACCATGCGAAGGAAAATCGCGCACGTCCGAGCAGCGGGCTTCAACTTCGGGATTTGGCACCAGGCCAGCCAACCGTCCTGTTGGAACCTGCCTTCTGCCAGTCACCTCATCGAGACGTAAGAGCAGCTCATATCCTCTGAGACATCCAGGAGAGATCAAGATCATTGCTTGTCACGACAGTCCTGAACGGTAACGGTTTCGCCCACAGTAGCAGCGCTGGCAAGGCTGACCATGTGAGGCAGACCTCTGGCGAAAGCTTCACATGACTTCAGCCACTATCTGTCGACAGTGGCGCTAGCTGAACAATGCAGACACCGGGTCTGCATAGCCCCAGGTTGGACATCGAAATCCTGCATACATTTCGTGTGACACAAAGTCGTTGTCATGTGATCAAACAAGCAGCCCCATTCACCGACAACAACGGCTTTGTTACATGTGAGACTCCAAACATTCACACTGTTACATCACCTTCGCGCCGGCATAAAACTACAGGTCATGACATGAATTCGTATCCCCTCTTCATACAACTCTACATCCTCAATCCTCTTCACCGCAACGTCAGCACGCCGAGCACGAACCTCCGCAACACCGAAGTCAAACAATCAATCACAACGATCGCCGCAGACCGGCAAAATGTCAAACGAACTGCCTGCATCGAATGCAGTACCACCACTTCCAAAGATCGATCCGTTAATCATGCGACCAGTCACCAAAGGCTCGCAACAAGTCGCGGCGTCCTCAGACAAGGCCATGGCACACCTCACTCGAGCCGCAAACGAAGAGGATCTCTACCAGTGGAGTCGTCAACTCTCATCCTCGATCCCTCGTGAAACGCTCAAGAAGGCTCGAAAAGTTGTCGGCGCAGGCGTCGATAGCACAGAGTTTCGCGACTTCGTCCAAGCCCACCACATCTCTTCCAAGCCGGTAGAAGTCGTTCACGACAGCCCTGCGGGTTCGGATAGCCAAGGCTCTGACTATTGCATTCAGTCCGCGCTGCCGCCTGTAGATCCTCGGCCAGCGACTGGCGCAACCAACGTCGTGAAGCGTGAGAAGTCGACTGGCGGAAGGGCACCTCGCAAGGTGACAGAGGCAGAAGCATCCTACTGGTGGTCGGGAATGACAGTTGAGGAGTACGAGCAGAGTCTGACGAAGGTGACGACTGAGGTCGAAGAAGAAGAACATCACGCGAACAGAGAAGAGGAAGACCAACAGGACGAAGAGGAAGACTTCGAGAACGAAGAAGACGAAGTTGTCATCATAACAGGAGATGAGGACACCAAATCAAGCTGGACACTACCTACGCCCGAGAAGAGTGAGAACAGTGTTTCTTCTGCTCCAAGCATCGATAGCGAGCAGGCACAAAACGCCGCCGAGGAGGATACCAGCGAGCAAGTTGAAGACTCCATCGCAGAAGAGGTTAGCACGCCGACCTTTGAACAATGGGCAGATCAACACGGGCTCGACCTGGACGACGAACTAGCAGACCTAGCGCGTTCAGGTGTCAACTTCAACGGAAAGCTGCTGGAGCTCGACAGCAGGACCGGTGTCTACCACTCTCGCATCCCAAACGAGATCGATTTCACGTACACCCCAAATGGCTCGACAACCGAGGTCGCCTTTATCCTGAACGACTCCGGTTCTATCGCCAACGCTAGGTCGTTCTGTGAAACCTCCCCAAACGCCCACGAAACCCTCGTATACCCTTGGCATAACCCACTGCTCGTCAGAGTTCAGTACCACAAGCCCAGCACTGTCTTTCCGGATTGGCCGATTGGTTTAGCATTCGCCGAGACCTCTGCGCGCACACTTGGAGATCTCGTCGAGATTGCGCTGGCGATGAGATTGGGCGCTGGCAAGTGGAAGGCCAAGGGGTTCAATTATGAATGGACAGAGGCGATGGTGAAGAAAGCGAGGGAAGAGGGCATGATGCATTTGCTGGGCAGTGTGGTATACTCACGCTGGGCACAAGGAGACCCAGAGGAAGACGCTGCTCTTGATGCTGAGCTGTTCGGAGGGATGAATGAAGATGCGAAGCAGCTCCAGGAAGCCGTCAAGAGCCAAGAAAAAGCTGTAGACGCTGAGCAGGGCGAAGTCGCAAAAGACGGAGCAGAGCAGACTGCCGAAGAGGTCGCAGCAGGCCAGTCGGTGGAGGCGGAGTTACCAGAGACAGATCTGGAGCAGGATGCAGCAGCTCAGGACATTGCGTCGGAGGCCAAGATGGTGATGCTCGCTGGGGTCCTGGGGCTTCTCCTTACGGCATACATGATCCTCTACTGCTGAGGTAAAGCATATCCTGGCTAGACTGGCACGAAGGATACCCAATGAATGATGGATCAGCGCACGAATCAGTATGACAGAAGTATAGCAGCATAGACAGTATGGCCATCGCTTTCGCAACAACTGCACTCTCAAAATTGAATAGGTTCAAAGCAATAGTTTCAAATACATGTCCGCGCCCGAACATCGATCGCACAAAATCACGATCATTCTCACTTCCCCCACCCTCCTCTCAAATCACAATCTCTTCTTCCTCTTTTTCTGTCCATAAAATACACATTCTCTCTAAAGCACAACACATCCCGGAGCCTTCGGTGCCGAGCCCTTGCCCCTGATAACTTGCAATCCATCAATGCACTCCTCCATCAAGCTCTCATCGATACGAAGAATCGTGCAGCCCGGGGCCTTTGGGGCGGAAGACCCGCTCTTGATGACTTGAATTCCGAGAACACATTCCTCACGGAGCGCGGACTCGGAGTTGAGGATGGAACAGCCGATGGTTCCGTTTGGGTTGATGAAGCTGTAAGGTTGTTTGCGGCCCATTTTGAATGTTTGGTTTGGTGGTTTCTTCTGGTGAAGATTTGTGTTTTGGTATTGATGAGGAGAGGAGCCAAGAGGGAGGGGATGGGGGGTATATATCTGCATGGAAGTGGAGAGGCTAGATTGGGGCGTTCTTTGGGGAGGAGTGGATCATTTCCTGGAATAGAATAGCGGGAGTCATGCGTGCGGCGAGTTGGTCGTTAAGATGGGCTTGATATTGTTCGCGCTTCTTCTTCCCAGCGTCCAGATCGATTGCCTGAGGCAGATTTCTTTGTCACGATCATTCACATTGTGTTTCCAGCCAATCAGGGTTCAAGTAAAGCCTTCAAGCTACAAAGCCGTCTTTGTTCATCGCACCAGTCTTCCGCATACCAACCATCACTCCCACCAGTCACAGGTAAGCATTCAGCCCCGCACAGTCTCACGGTGTGTCAGCGTTGAGGAAGGTTTTGTCGAGCAACAGACATGCTAACACGTGGAAGCAGAACACCATGCCGAGAATGGGTATTTTCGCCGCCGAGCCAGGCACCAAGAACCCCGACCGTTGGTCCTCCGCCGTCAACGAGCAGGCCATGGCGACGAAGCGCCAGACGAAAGAATTTGTCGAGGCGAATGTGGAGAGAGCGCGTGCGCGCAACTCGAGGTGAGCAAGATACAAATTTGGCATTTGGAGGCGGTAGTGCTGACAACACACCAGGTCGAAAGACCTCGATACTACCATGAACGATCTGGCGCTCTCTGCTGAGCAGAAAGAGAGGCAGGCATCGGCGTTACGGAAGAGCGAGAGAGACTTTTTGCGGTTTTTGCGGAAGACGGCATGATTGGGCCAAGAACATGTAAGATCTAGTTCTCATACCTCGTTTCTCCGATATATGCTGACGATGAAAGCCAGCAGACGACCAGACAGAGAGCTGATACGAATCCTACTACTCCAAAAAGAACCCAATCAAATCCTTCGCCAACCTCTCCGGCTTCTCCAACGCAAGACTATGCCCACACTCCTCATAAATCTCACTCTTGACCACATTCTCCGCAAACTTATCCGCACACTCCTTCACTGTCGGCCCAAAGAACTCCGGAGCACCAATCGTCATGACCGGAATCGTCAATTTCGTCTTGGCGAGTTCCTGGTTGATTTCTCCATTCTTGAAACCAGCTCGATAAGTTTCCAAGATACCGCGGAGGGTGCCTGGTTGTTTCACGCATTCGATCCAGTGGTCGAGGGCTTTGGGTTCGATCATGCAGGGGTTGTAGCATTCTTGCTTGATAAACATTTCCCAGAATTCGCGCTCGTGGCCTTGGATGAGCATTTCGGGGATGTGGGGGATGTAGAAGAAGGAGAGGTGCTGCAGCAGATCATCAGCTTGAGCAAAGCGGTGGCGGTTTAGCAGAAAGAATGCGAATGCTTACCCAACACCAAACACCTCTCATCTCATACTGTGCCGTCACATTCTGTGGACTCCAAAGATTACTCTCTTCCAGTCCTAATCCGCTCAACAACATCTCACAGAAACTCAGTTTCAGCACACGGTCGCGATACAGTCCTGCTACAGCATACGCATAATCTGCTCCACGGTCCTCGCCATGCAGGTAGAACTTCTCGTGACCCAGCTGTGTCATTAGATCTGCCACATCCGCAGCCTGCTCCTTGGAATCGTAGCCATCGGTTGATGGAGGCTTGTCCGTATAGCCAAAACCTCGCAGGTCCGGAGCCACGACTGTGAAGTGTGGTGTGAGAAGAGGGAATACGCGATACCAGTAGAAGCTGTTCTTGGGCGTTCCATGCAAGAGGAGAAGTGGTGGACCAGAACCTGCGGTGATGTAGTGTAGACGAATGCCATTGACGCGGGCACGGCCATGTTTTACGGGTTTGCCGTCGTGGTCGTAGGTTTCTGCTAGTTCGGAGGACATAACGAAGTACTGCTATGCTATGCTTCTGATTCAGGTTTCAATCGAATTCCAGACCTGTCTTGATATCTGTTGCCCTCACTGGGTTTGATGCTCTCGGAGGTGCTTTTGGAGATGTCGTCGTCGACCCCGCTTTTCGGAGACATTGCATCATACGAAGTCTAGATCGTCGTTAGCAGCGGTATAGTGGATTTTACAGCCATCTATTACAAATTGCTATGCTTCTGTGCTTCAAACAGCATGGTACTGCAAGGTATAGCGACATCTGGTTGCCTGTGTATGATTCGCTGAGACGGAGACATGGGTACAATACCTTTCCCGAAAAGGCAATTATGGTCTGTCTCTGTGGGCATGCCGCAACTCTTCCGGACACCATATCGCGTCCCAGTGGCATACACGACTGTACAAATGATGGAGAAAAGCTGGTATCATATCCTTCATTCATTCCATTCAAGGTGTAGAAAGCGATGCTACCCTATCTGTCGATCGGGCAGGTGTAAGCGCCCCGCCAAGCATCCTCCTCACTCCACCAACTCCAGGTCCTCGCCCTCTCTTTCTGTCTCCTCGGGAGCCTCCGACAACGTCTCATCTCCACCCTCGTTCCCCTCCAGCACAATGTACTCGCGGAAGCACTTGCATACCTGCTTCATCCTCTTCTTGTCCTCCAGTGGAAGAAACTCCACAATCTTCTCCAAAATGTCCTTTCCCTCCTTCTTGGCAATGATGGGATAGTGCCATACTCCTGTTCTCCTCACTGCTTCCAACAGACTCTCCGACACCACGGGCTGGATCATCCATTTGACTTCGATCGCATGCTCATTCAATCCCTCGGCGGTCGTATACTCCCAAATTTGCCGCATCAACAGCGTGTCGTACACCCAACACCTCACACCAAAGTTCTCGTGGACCAAGCCGTCCTTCGTTGCCCGAATATGTAGCCCCATGAGCCTCGCTGGACCCCACGAAACCGGAAGCTCCAGACACGTGGACTCCTTCGTCACCTTTGTCAGGTCGATATTGAGCTTCGCTTGCATGAAGGGATGGTTATAACTGGCGAAGATGTTTCCCGTGGGCTGTGGCTCGAAGAGAATTTCGTTCAGGAGGGCAGGCGCCATGGTGCTGGAGCCGGATTTGAAGAGCTGATAGCCCTCGAGACGCGTCAATGTCTTGTCCTCGTCGGAGATGATCCACATCTCCTCCTCCTCGAGTGGGCGGTGAAGGCGGGCGTTGAGAGCGGGGGAGGCGGCCATCGAGGCTTTCCAGAACTTGCTGACGCGCGTGACTCCGTAGAGCGATTTGGTAGGGAGATGGAGGAGGATGCGCTCGAGCAGCTCGGGCGTGTCGAGAGCTTTGGTGGCGGCGACGAATGATGGAGTGGGAGTGGAAGACATCGTTATCTCTGGTGTGGCGAGAGTGTGTGCGAGCGGAGAATAAGTATGGCGAGGTGCGTGCAATGGGTGCGAGGCGAAGAGAATGCGAGCGACGAGGTGGATAGAACGGCGATGTGCGTACAGTGGTCGAAGGAGGAGGCGGGAGCTGAAGAAGTTTTTGTTTTGGGGGCAGAATCTTGGCAAGCTCAGAACTAGTCCCGCCTCAGGACTACAGCGCCCGTCCAACAGCATTCGGACAATCTCCATCGATGTAAATCTGAGGCCGCAGCTTACGACGGAACTTTATGCACTGAGCGCCTACGATTGTGCCGGGGACTTGAACGATGGCCCGGAACCAATACGCATTGGCTATTTTCGTACATCGAGTTCGGATGGGCCAATCGAGACCAACGGCAACACATTGTAGGACAGCAAGGAAATGCCCGCCTCTACCGCCTCATTCGCTTGGATTGCAGTCATCTTCCCTGCTCTGACATATTGTGCTTCGCTCCCAGATCGTTCTCATATGCTCAGTATCTAAGCCAGTGGCCAACGGCTTCTCTGAGCATTGCTTGGCCGTTTAACGTGTGCGAGCCAAACTGCTTGCCTGAGTCACTGATCGAGTAGTGCGGATGCAATCATTGGGGACTGAAGAATGCCACACAAGGAGCCTCCGCGCATAGGACGAAGCATGAGATAAGAAAAATTAATCCAAGCACGAGAGGAAACGAGATCGAAAGGTAGTTCGCGCATGATATCGTGGAGTGTATCGTGCAGACTCTGGCGGACATACTGTGGCACTGTCCGAGAAGCAGAGCACCATGTTGAGTGACAAAGAACGCCCATGCTCAATTCCAGCCTCGAGTTAATAAAGAAACACCATCCGACCTGAGCCCCACGCTTCCACGCTATCTCTTCTTTGTTCTCTCACCACGGCATGATCGACATTGAACCCCAAAGTCATCATCACTCAACTCCACAGTTACTGCATTCTGGTCTCAATAGTGTATCCAGTCCAACAAAACAGAATTCTGCAACAGTCATCATGCCTCGTTGTATCGTGCTCTTACGTCCATACCACCAATCTCTCGTCCCACAGCCAACGATCCCACCACACATACCACCATAACCACAATGCGCTTCCTTTTCGCCTCAGCCATCCTCCTCGGCACAGCCACCGCAGGCCTCAGACCCGACGAAATGGCCTGCAGCATCAAGAACTCCTACGTCGTCGACGCCATCAACAAACTCTGCTCCAAGTATGACATGGTCGCTCCGAGCGATTACAGCTCTTCTGGCGTAAAGAGCGACCCTCCGTATGCTTGGGTTGCTATTAACGGTACGTCGAGTCCCATGCATCTGTATACAGAGTTGTTCTCGGAGACCAGAGACTGATTCCCTAATACCAACAGGCAAATGTGATCCTCCCCAATGGGTTCCCGCCGACATTTGTAAAGCCCAATTCTACATGATGTGTAACACGGGCGATAACGTCGGCAATAACGCTTGGAGTTTTGGAAAGAATGATTGTCAGAGATGGGATATCGTGGCGAGTAAGAGTCAGAAGTAAGTTTGTCGTTTCCTCTTCTTTCTTTCTACAGCAGAGACTTGAGGGATGATGTGGATGGATGCTGATGAGATACGCAGAGAGAAGGCACCGCCACTTAAGAGCGGCACCAGTCGTTGGGAGTTTGATGGGACGTCGATTTTGAGCGTGTTCGGGATTGGGAAGAGGGAGATCGAGGCTTATCAGAGAAATGTGGATGAGGTTATGGATGCGGCGAGGAGGGATAGAAAGTGAGGTTTGAGAGTTTGAGAAAAAGGGTTGGAGGATATGGTACTTTACAGTCTGGGGTATCATAATTTCAATGCTCGTGTCGATCCTATGCTTCGCTAACCATGCTGCCTTCTACAATTGAATCGTTTCCATCCTGACCAGCTTTGTCTTCCTGTTTGCTGCAGAGATGAGTCTCCTAGACAGGCTGAGTGCTCTAGCACTTGTCACATCCTTCTCCACAAAGCATGACCGAAATGACTCTGTCACCCTCAGAAAGATGTACCACAATCCGCACATCGTACCACGCTCGCCTCGATACCGCAGCAGAGTATGGAGTCACTCTGTTCCCTTCTCCGATCCGTACACAGAAGCTGTTGCTTTGCTCACCCTGCCCCATGTCGCCTCGATGCACAAGTGGACGACCGCGCGTTCGGAGCAGTTGAAGCTCGAGAGTAATGTCGTGGTGAGACATGCAGCTGTCTTCTGGTAGAGGCGTCATTGGGTCTGGCACGGGTCGTGCCCAGTCGGTGGCTCTGCATACACCACACCACGTGGTGTTGCATACGAGGACGAACTCTTTGCCAGTGATCTCCTTGGTCTCGGAGTTGATGTGAGTTGAGACCAGATGTAGTGGCCCTCCCAAGCGGTACAGCTGAGACTCAGGGTTGACTGGGACAGCGTTGGCTTCGATGATGTGCGCACCGAAGGCACAGAACTTCACATCCTTGTAGTGAAGCATTCTCAAGCCGTGCAGGTCGTCCAAGTGTCGATGGTCAGTGTTGCCGTTCGCCGGTGGGTAAGGTGCCATTGTTGGCGGCGTCGGTGCGTCTGGTGACTGAGGAACGTTTGTACCTTGAGCTGCTCCAAGTTCTGCCCTGCGTGCCGCTTCCTCGAAAGAGGAACCAACATCGGGACCAGGAGGGCGAACGTCTGGTTCTCGAAGAAATAGCTCTTCTTCGCTTTCCTCTTCGTCCGCAATGGTTGCTTCTTGATCGTCGTTGTTTGTGGAAGCATCAGAGTCATCGTTCTCGTCAACATCTACCACATCCAGCTCGTGGTCCTGCCCGTTGTTTGCGCCATCGTCGGATTCGTAGTCCTCGTCAGACTCGTGGTCAGCGTCATCGTCGGCCACATCCGACTCGCTCTCATGGGACGAGCTGTTATCATCGTCGTCGGTTTGTTCGTCGGCGTCCACTGCATTGGAGACTGGTGTTGAGACGGGTGCCTTTCTTGCAGTTCCCGGTATTACGCGTGCTTGCGCTTGCGTTTGCGCTGCTACCGCTGGTGGCGCCGTCGCTGGCCCGGCCCCTGGAGCTGCTTGTGCTTGTGGAGCGGCAACAGGTCCAGGCAAGATTCCAGCAGTCCCAGCAGGAACGTGTGTCAGATACTCATGCGTTGGGGCAACTTGTAGAGTCAACGCGATGTTGAGGTTTGCTGCCTCTCGAACGATATCTGCCACGGCGTTTGCGAACTCAAGGTGCTCCTGGTTTGTGTATGGAGTTCCGTTGTAATCGTTTGGTCGATCGAGCACGCGCCAGTCGCGCTCTCTCCTGCCGCCACTCCAGCGCTGGTTGTGTTGATCACGCAGCTTCGGTGTCCCGTAGTCGGCGCGGTGCGGGAAGATGGCGTGAAAGATGTCTCTGATTTGATCCTGTGTCAGGTTCCAGAGATGAAAGAGAAGCAGGAGGACGCGGCGCTCGTCCAGCTGCCAAGGTCGTCTGCTTGCGGCGGGAACGATCGGTCGTCCGGTGATGTCGGATCGTTGCATTGTGATTGTTGGTGGTCTTGATTGAAAGGTTCGCGTGGCAGTTGTGGAGTGTGTGTTCGTGAAGCGGGTTGTTGGCTTCAGGTTGCAGTCGCCTTGTTCGTGTCTTCGTTTCCGTATGAAGAGGAGAGACTGGTCGCAAGAGAAGAAGGATACTTAAGCGTTTGACGAGGGCGAGGAAGTGAAGTGCGCGGCTGCACTTCGTGACATCCACTTTGTGCTTCAAACTTCACGGGCGCTGACCACGTGCGGTTCACCAGCTCGCCGTCCATCTTCGGTCAACAATATCATTGTGTACACAGTCGAGGAGTCACAAAGAATGCGTATATGCTTGTCATGGCAGTCATGACCATTCGTATTGATGCTTGTATGCGCGGGAAGAGATTTGTGAAAACGAAACCTAGGAGCATGAGCTTCCACGCTCCAGGATCGATTCATGCTGGGAAAATTGGTAAAAACATAGAGGGAAGTACTGTTGTTCAAAAGAACTCACCTTGACGATCGAAGGAGAAGCTCTTTATGTGAGATCGAGGTTTGAACTACAGAAAGTTCCAACCTGGTCTCGTGCAGATTGAGACTCGAGACAACGGCTTTGTTCATGGAATTGTCTCCCTGAGCCAACATTGAGACAGCAAACTCATCGCTGCAGCACATATGCAAGTCTGACCGAGCGGTTTGACGCTCTTCTTGCTCATTGTCCATATACATTGTACACTCCAAATGTCTTTATATGAATATTATGGATTCACATGGATGATAGATCGTTGACTCGTCCCCAGTACTCTTGCCTGAGATACGACTAGTACTGTCCTCACGGGTGTGAACTCTTATGCACGCTGCTGATCTGCCGGTATTGATTCTGCAGCTGTTGTTGATGCTCTCTCGCTGACACGTCGACGGTGAACAAACGTGGACCCACTTTTCTGTCACTTGCGTTTCTCCTGCACGCACCACTCGAAGCACCGTCGACAGCACTTCCTTCTCCGACATCAAACATCGCCACGCTCCAGGACAGCAGCACTCCAGAACCCCTTCGTCTTACATTCCGCGCCTTCTCACCAAGACAACCACATCGTCGACATGGGCAGCTCATCGAAATGGACGGTTGAGGAATTCCATTGCGAGCAGATGCTGAGGGAGGAGTTCGGGGTGGAGCCCTCTGGCGACGGTGTACAGATCGCCTACGACATGATGGGTAGACTCTTCGGCGAGGCCTACTGCACACCAGCGCGCAAGTTCAACGGCAATAAATACAGTGCTCAGCGCTTCCAAGACCGTAAGTCCCACCCCCTCCGAGTCTCGTTCCGTCAATGATACTGACAAGCACGCAGGTTGGACGCAGCGCTTTAAGCCTAGTCAGCCAAAGATATGGAGACACATCTGCAACGGCCCATACTCCTCTGAGGACGAGGCCCTCCGTGCCGACCTTCGCGAAAAGATCAAGGCCGCCGCAGAACAGGAGGGCGACAACAACCTCCTTTCAGACCAGCCAAATCGCCGCATCACTCTCGGTCGCTCTGGTCTCCCAGCTCGATACGCCCTTCCGCGCCGCCCAATCTCCATGGTCCATACCGACCAGCTCAAGCCCGCCATCCCGAGCGAGTACCACCAAGCAAAGTACAAGCCAATGGACGCTCTTCACCCAGAACGATCCGCTTTCAAGCACGGTGGCCGGATCATCCGCATTGGTACTCTCGATGACTCCGTCCTTGATGCAATGGTCTGCGATGCCCCTTATTGCTTCGTCTGCACGGCCGACTTTCTTCCTCCAACTGAGAATAGTCCGTTTGAAGGCCGTGCCTTCCTTCACCTCTGGCGCGATTGCGAGCCTGGTCTGGACCCTCTCGAGCGGTACTACACCTTCAGAGGCGCCAAGGCAGGGCAGATGAAGGATACGATGATGGTGCCGGAAGAGAAGCAGGAGGTGGACGTGCAGTTTATGCTGGATGGGAAGCCTTTCGTCGATGGCGTGTTGAGCTGCATCCCGGGTGAGTGCGAGGTCTGTCAGGCGTACTCCGGCGAGTGGAATGACGACAACGAAGCGGAATGAGGAGGCGTGCTGAGACATGATAGAGCATGAAGGTGGAGCAAGGGGTGGTGTTAGAGCATGCACGGAAGGAGTTGAAAATGATACCCTGTACATGTAGTGCTTGCAATGCATGAATTTCTTCACATGCACATATCACTGACCCTGTGTGGCTAGCTCTGGTTATTGTCACAGAACAAGGCCTATGGTCGTCCCATCGCTAGAGAAATGTGTTTGAGAGGCTCTGTGGAGATATTCAGACTGTTACCCCAGGAGTTCATGATTCCCTAGTTATATTGCGTCTCATGGAGAGATCATGTATAGGCATATCTCTGTAGTACCTCCCAACTACCATCAATTCTCTGCCCGCTTGAACGCATTGGAAGGTAATGTGGCGCAGCACGCAGTGGATTTCATTCTGGCTGGCTAGAAGAAGACGATTGAAAGTGGGCGCTACAAGCAAACCACTATTCACTCGCAAGCTCAGGCTCAAGAACAACACTGTCGGCGCTCACTTTGCCTGCGCTCGGAGCTTCAATAACTTGAGCGAAGACGAATGCATGGACCTGGTTGCCCAGAGCATGCTCGCCAACTATCCCATCAACGCGCTCCCGAAGACTATTTGAGTCACGGCGAATGACAAGAAGACAATTGTTTCAGCATCAAAAACACGAACAAGCCCCGATCCTCAGCAACCATGGAGAAGAGCAGGCTCCAGAGAAGGGAAGGCGAACAATATTTCACAGCTCGCATGGCATTCTTCGCTCCGCCGTGCTGGCGATCACCAGGGCAGTAAGACTGATCAGGTTGATAGATTTCGTCATAGCATTGAAGATTGGAGTTCTCATTCGCATCCGCATCATATTGCACGAAAGCAGAGGCACTCATGCATTTGGAAGTATGCCATTTCAGGAAAGTGACGATGAGCATGGAGCAGCACAATTTCACAGGACAGCCCGGCCGCTGCACAATAGCACGAGCTGCATCTATGGATAGCATCAGCAACTATGTGATTACTCGGCTCAACTCTTTGATGTTTGCTCTTCTTCGTTCTTTGATCGAGAATTCCAAATCGTTATAACAGGTATCTTAGCCAGCATTGGCCGCAGGTGAGAATGATCATTGAACCTGGCTTGATGGTAGTATCGAGCCATGGTGTTGATAATGCTCCTTTGCGATTGCTCCTGAACGCAAGTCACGACTTGATGCAGTTTCTAAGCTTCACAGAGGTGCGGTAAAGGCGAGCAATGTATACGTCATTGGACGGTGTGATGAGTTCGCTGGCTTGAAGCAGAACCATGAGCAGAGATCGCACATCGTTCAGTCGAATATGGTGTGCTGAAAGGTCGTATTTCACCATCAATGTTGCTCCTTGACCGATATTTCCTCGATTCCATAGATGAGCTGCATGGCACGCTGTTCACGAATGGTTCCTTGGACGATTTGCTGCATTAGACACGCCGGGCTGCGTCATGATTCGGGACGAAGAGCCCTCCTACATCGCTGTGATGCTGCCTGCAAACGACGATCTCCATGTGAGGCGACAGGAAGAGCCACCGGAGCCAGGGAAGCAGGAGCAAGATTCGTCACGGCTGGGGGTCTACATTGTCTTGGATGACGCCGACTCTCCTGGCTCTGCCTCGCTAATGGCATACTGCGACTGCGCCCGAAATACACTAGACGCCAGCCATCTGCACGCGCGTGTGTCTCCGCCGTCCTTGCTGGGAATTTTGGTGAGCAGCCACGCGAAGGAAGAAATGAACGAGGGCAAACTGGAGTTGGGCTGACTGCTGCTTGACCACTCAAGGAAAGTGAAGGGGTGAGTTGGCGGCGGCCATGAGACTTGGCATTCGAACATAATTCCTGCTTGCCGCTCCGCAGATCTACCGTCTTGTAAACACCTCAACAAGAAGCATCACCGACCCACTGCGCCTTATGCCGACGCAGTTCAGAGCACACTCTTTCTACCTGCTCCACCACCACATCCGGCGTTCATCCAGCTCGAGAGACAGCCATCTTGACAACCGCCGGTCCCGCATACAATGGGAAGAGCTCCTCCTCAATATTGCTCAAGGGCACGACTATGAGCAGCGCCACCTTCTCCGGTAAATACAGCTGCGAACGCTTATCTTCTACTGTGACTGAGACGACTGCAGGTCCCGCCAGGCCTCGACACAGAGCAACAGCAACAGTCAGTCACAGACCTCGACACCAACAAATGTAGGTATCAGAGCACGCATCACGAAGTACCCAGCACATCGTAAGCAAACGCTCATAAGCAGAAGAACAGAGACTAAACCCTTCGACGAGGACGCAACGGCAACATTCGACCTACCAAAGCCCAGCACAACTCCATCCACATCCCACCAACGTGTACACCGCAGCAACTCCGTCAGCACCAGCGCATCTTGCCGTCCACCTCAGAAGACCACATCAGCGCACCTCGCCGTCCACGTCGACCACAAAAGCCCACACCCTCTCGGCATCCACAGCCCATGATCGCCCGTAAGTCACACGGAACCAGCATGGGACGCTCGAAGTAGAGTTCAACAAGAATCCGACGCCGGTTACGTTGGCAAGGGAGAGAATGGCACAGGAAATCAATGTGACCGAGATCTGTTCCTCGGAGCGCGCATCGGTCATATTGATTTCCTGCGCTATCCCCTCTCTTACCAGTGTAGTCGGTGTCGGGTTCTTGTTGAGCTCAACTTCGAGCGTCATAAGCTGATCCTGTGTGATTCGTTAGGGCTTGTGAAGTTTTGGGTTGTTGAGGCAGTGGGCGAAAGGGGCGGTTGCGCCTTGTGAGTTTGCTTCCGGGACAGGTAAGTAACGATTGTGTGGAAGCTAGCCAGGACAGCGCTGACGATCTGCAGATATGCGAGGACAACGGACATAGCCAATACTTCAGACGTCCGCTTTCAGCACCCATCTTAATTGCAGACTTTATCGAGCTTCGAGAGGACCAGACTGCAGCGCCAGAAAGAGGCAGGAAGAGTGGCAGCGAAGCGCAACCCAAGGCTTTAGTTGCCAGATGGGTTGTTAGCGTCACCAGAGAAGGGAGCACAGCAGTTAAAGCGCACGTCTGCGGTCGCGATCGTTGATGAGGAGGAAGCCATTGCCCAGGAGATTGGACGAGGGAGGAGGGAGAGCAAATACTCAGACAGCTCGCGGAAGCATATTGGCTGGCGGCGGATTTGTCCAAACGTTCGCCGAATACGCCTTATGCAGTACACGTCAATTCCGACAGCAGCTCATCGCTACGTTTCTGATCGCCTGTCTCCGGCTTGTGAAGTCAAGTGCAAGGCAAGTCCTCCATGCGAAGTTCTACGGAGAGCACTCACGATGGCCAAGGCCTTCTATCGATCCCGCTTTGTCATTGCGCCTTCACTGCCGCCCTGCACAATACTCCGTTCCCAGCTGAATGATGCTCCTCTGCTGATCATTGCGATACAGAACCGCAAACCATGCAGATTTGGAAGTTTTGAGAGCAAACGCCTCATCTCAGTGTCTCTATAATGATTTGCGTGGATTTTCAATGTGTTATATCGCGGTCTTCATAGCCTCATCCTTTGTGCTGCCCTTTCGACACGATACCGTTGTGCGGATCTCTTCAGCGTCGTCCACGCCTCCATTGAGTCTTTCCATTCCTTATATGCACAACGCGGGCTATGTGACCACTCAGCGTGCAGGCACGAGCTCCGCGATCAAATGAATGCTCCCGCCCGCTCTCACGAAGTGAAGATCAAAGCTGAAGCGCTGGTCAAACCTTCCTTTCTGTGTGGCATCCTGCCTCTGTGTGTATCTGAAGCTACGTCCACCACGTCGTCGCTGCTGCACTTGGTGGTCTCTCGAAGCCCCTTGCCCCATCCAATGCTTCTGTTCCTGCTCATGTTCCCAAGTCATGCTACCTCTTTGTCCTCTGGAGCTGAAAACGTCCTTGCGGCGCCCCTTTGTTTCCAGGTTTCAAACATGCTTTCAAGACCGTGGCCTTTGAGGATCTCCACAACCGTTTCACCAAGGCTTCCGTCGCTCATCGTTGCTGTCTCTTGATGACATGTTCAGGCACTGTGCGCGTACGTCCGTCTCTTCCTTCGTCTTCAGGGGCCGGCGCCTTCGATGTTGAGGACTCGACATCTGCGCTGGTGGCCAACGTCCTCGGTCGCCGTTGTCCCGGTGTTCAAAGTTAGCGGATGGCGTCGACCTCGCGGCGGGCGAGACTCTGCTTCCGAGACCTGCTGCGAACCAGCTCTTGTGGTATTCCGAGCGCTTTCAGAGACTGGCTCCACGAGCGGCTTCGTGTCGTGCCTGACGGAGCGTGATTGCCCTTGGGTCGAGCGCTGACTTGGCTGAAGCGTCCCTGTCGGCCGTTCCGCAGTGCACTGGGAGCGATCATTGGCGCCAGAGGATCTGAATGCGCTGCAGCGGTCTGTCGGCCACAATGAGTAAACTGTGAGCTGCATCAGAGAGGTGTCGGTCAGATCTCCTCAATCGCAAACTGCTCTCGCCGCTGCTTTCCTACTGTGCTGATGTAGCCATCGAGTCCGTCAGTCAGCCCTCGTCGCCTCCGCCGTCGCAGCTCGATGGCCGTGAATAGGAGGCTTTGGAGGTACTCCCGACGCGAAGCTTGCAATCGTGATGTTGCAACGATGGAGGCCGCCGCGAGCGAAGGTCCCGCGCCTAGGAGAAGCACTTCCAACTCTCCTGCTTCTGGCGTGCTATCGTGGCCTGGATGAGAAGTAGTCAATGAAGCCCGCCTCGCCGCGCCGCCTCGGAGTGCGACCTCAAGCTCGCCGCCGCCGCCGCCCACGGCAATCAGAAGAGCCCTTTCGATGTCCCATCGTGATGCCGAAACTGTTCTGAGCGCGATGTCGCCGTCAGCTCGCTGTAGTAGCCTGTTGTCTCCAGCCCTTTGGGTATCCTGTCAGCTCGTTCGTGATCGAGTGACTGCTGCTGGTCTCTCGTCAGCCAGTTCAAGCGCGTTCGTTGATGCCGCAGTCAGCCTTTGAATTTGATGCCTCTGTGCGAATCTTGCAGAGCTGCGTAGGGGTCATTCGCTCCTCGCTGTCGCACAGTACCGCCATCAGAAGGACGACCTCAGTGTCCCATGATGAAGCTGAAGCCCCATTGAACGGGATGCCGTCGTGACCGCGTCGTTCTAGCCAGTGTCCTGGGCGCTCAGTAGATCTGTTCGTGTTGCCTCGACTGCTCCTGTTCCTGTTCCCGTCAGGTGCAGCGCAGCCTTTGTCATCGCCGTCAGCGATTGAAGCTAATGGCTCTCTGCGGATGAGGCAGCTCTTCCCAGGACGGGGGCGCTTCTCACGGCGGTCACATAGAGAGCTGATCTGAGGCGTTTACTGATCGCAGTGAGGTACTGCGAGTGGTATGTCGCCTTCATGTCCTCGCCGTTGCTGGACGAGCAGCGCTGGGTCCTGCCACTGAGCGCCCGGCCGTGGTTCAAGCGCTCTGCTCGTCCTGCTGGCACAGCTGGGTAGTCTCAATGGGTCACCATGGTGTCACTGGCCTACGGACATTGGATCTACTGAAGTCTCGCTCGTCACTGCGTGTTCACTGCTGCCAGGCTCACTGCCGACAGCGCTGGCGGCTCGATCTGGCGCGACTTTGGCCCCAAAATGGCTCTGTACACTGCTCCATGATGGGCGCCAACACACTGTGACTCTCATGATGGATAAAAATGCTATCTGAATGAACTAAATGCATCCGCAAGTCTTCATCGCCGCGTGGCGGCGAGCAATACCACTCTTCTCAACCTCCCAATCCTCCTCCCACCGTCCTCCTCCCCTCCCAGACCCTCACCCCAGCCACCTCCGGACCCCCAAACCTCACCTCATCGTCACCTTCCGCCTCAGGCAGCAGCCTGACAGGCATTAATCGACCAATGAGAGCCCTTTCAGCCGCGTGATTCAGCTTCCGTTGATTACTAAATCCCGCTAGCGCGACACGCCGAGAATCAGACTATAAGAACCCCTCTCCCTCTCTCTGATTTCCTTTCTTTTTCTCTCCACTACCAACCACTTCTCACCTTGCTTCGATGTGCTTGCCTTTGGGGGCCGGCCTTCGGTAAGTACTTCTTCCCCTTTCCCCTTCTCTAACAACTCACTTCACAGCAAGTGGCGGCGTCGCTTGGCAGGCGGCGACGTCTGGCTCTGGCATTTGGCGTTGGCACTTGGCAATGGCAAGTCACCTTCATCACTCAGGACCTGAGGGTGAAGGGGGCAGGTATGTACTTCCGTTGGTTGTGATGATTTTGCTGACCCCATCATTCCGTTGGCACTTTGGTGCTGGTGGGTGGAGGGGTCTACTTCACTGACTTTGCTGTTTTGTTTGTTTTGCAGATTCCATCATGTCGTTGGCACTTTTTTGCTGGCGAGTGGAGGAGTTTGACCGTCACTGTTTCTCGCTGATGTTGCTGTTTGATGTGCTGTGACCGTCAAATTACTTATTCTGCTGCTACCGTTCCCGTGTTCGTGCTGTTTGATGTTGCGGGTGTCAGTGAGGGTCGAAGCTGCTCGTCGCGCTGCTCCAAAGTCGCGACGGGCGTCAAGATCGCGGAGGCCAAACACGGTCGCGCCTCCTCACCGCCCAGCGAATACACTGTGCCATTGATGAAGCTATGCGGACTCTTCTTAAGACTATCTATGTGATCAGAGGTGATCAATGTGAACGCTGCACTCGACGTTCTGGCACTGCCAGTCCTGGAAGTCGTGGTGTAAGAAGACTCAAAATCCGCCCTCACGAGCGCAGGAGCGCGACGGCCCCATTGACTGCTGATGACAGCCTCCAGCTCGCCAACAGCCTCATTGCCCAATGATGGCCCCATAGAGCCCGTTTGATGGTCAGAATGCTGCTCAGGACTGCGAAGCCTTCTGCACTTCTCAACGTGGAGAAGAGCTGCCATGAAGGCGGCAGTCGACCGTCGGACGCGGCTCTCACGGGCGCTGCTGAGGAGAAAGGCTCTACTCGAAAGACGTGACTACAAGATCTGTTCCGCGACCGGTATCACTCGAACACCTTGAGGCGCGAAGCGCGGGAAATGCAGACTCCTGAGGTGGCCTACCTGACTGTCACAATGGCTTCAGCACGACGACAGGCACTTGAGGGGAACATCTCCTTGCAAACTCTCCTTATGGACGGCGAAGGCGACATCCACCGTCAGAGTTCTCGGGTCAACTCGTGCGCGCGAGCAGCGCCGGTCCTCTCCTTCACCTTTGCGTCAAGGCTCCGCACACCACCATCTTCTACGCACAAAGTGGCAGCAGCACTAATTGATCAATCAGAAAACGAGCGCAACCTACCCCTACGATGATGGGGCCAAGCACGAGTCTCAGTTGGCGCAGCGTGAAATCACTCGCGTCCGAACGTTCATCACAGCCTCCGCTACAGCATCAGCTCGCGCCGAGTCACGAACCCTGCAAACGTTCTGCCCTCATCTGCCAGTATAAAAGTCGCTTCAACCATCCATGGGCGTCCTCCACAACAGACTTGCAATACCGCTTCGAGCTGACTCGCGCCGCCGGGGCTCGCGAGATCCTCAAGAAGGTTAACGGCATGAACCCTCGCGACTGGTCGTTGGACTCGAGCGTCGCAGCAGCGACCACTGCCGATAGGCCAATGTCGGCGCGGAGCAGACCGCTACTAGTCGGACGGCCGCCGTGGTAAGCTGACGAGCAGACACGATGATTGCAGACAGACGCTGACATATTCTTAGCGCATCTTCCATCGCGCCGAATACCAAGCACAATAGCGAGATCACCGCCAGCCCCCCCACGAACCTCACTCACGTAACCGCGCGCGCCCTGACGCAAATAAAGGCAGTTGCGCACGCCTAGACAGCTACAAAACAGCCCAAGGCCTCAGCAGACGACTCAGCGGATCACCTGACGCAGGTACTGGCAACAGTCGTCACTCGAGCCTTCCACCATCCTGCGAGTGATTCACAACCTCGCTCAATGGGTCGTTGCAGCTCCAAGACTCCAAGACATGCCTTCGGTTGCTCCACGGCTCCGGAGCTGAGCATCGTCAATTTTGTGCACCGTGTCAGCACCCAAACAATGCAACCAACATTCCAATTCTCAACGGAGCTGCAAACCCGCTCCAGCAGACCCTCGGCCGCACCGTTTTGAGACGCGATCCACCTACCGGCGACGGCGCATCATCAAATCACTGCAAGAAGGCCGCCCTCAAGGAGAATGATTGCAAGAAGACGAAGGCACAGCGGAACCCATGCGTGAACGAGCTCGATGAACCGTTCGCACGCACCGCGGACAGTTCGACGTCTGACGCTTCCCCTCTCAGGAGCGATCACCGCGAGGTTCAGGTCCTGAGCCGCAGCAAGGACTTCCGCAAGGATACTGCTGGGGTTGAGAAGTCTCCCAAGAGGGGCGGCTGTCGCGACTACGAGCCCCCATTTAAGTATCTCCCTGTCCGCAAGCGATCCGTCTTGCCGAAGCGATTTGGCGATGAAAAGCTCGCTCGCCAGAGCGAGGAAGATGTTGCAACGAATGCCGTGGAGAGCTCTGCAGTGGTTGGCGATCCCGCAAGTGAACCTGCTGCCGACGCAGACGAACCGGAGACTTGGAATCTTGTATCTACCTCCTTGGTCACAGATACCGACACCTCATCATGGAAAAATATAGTGCCCATCTCAGCTGCCACCAGTGTCGAAGACGAACAGTATTCGCCGCCGAAGTACAGCATCTCAGACCCCTCAGACACCGGAGAGATTGAAGAGGAGGAGTATGATGAGTAGTGGTCAGGGCAACCGCAAGAAGGTTGATGGCGGCGTCCCCATCGTCGCATGAAGCATTGAAGCACCGACCGCAACAAGGATCGCTACATCCCAGCTGTCAAGCCGAAGAGCACACCTCACGTCACTATCGAGGAGGTTGTCCACGAGGAGGCTAAGCACGAGTCACGTTTCGCCGTTGCCTGCCGGATCAAGCGCCGCGACCTTGAGCCTCGAGGGCTGGCTGATCCGCATGCGAGGCGCAACAATGAACGCCAGAACAGCTCCACAGCGAACATAGCGATTCCTGACTTCGAGCAAGACGCCTCAAGCTGCTCGCAATCTTGATGAAATCACAGAGACTCCAGCTCGCACACAGATCGTGACAGTTGAAGTGTCTAGTTTGTTGATTCTGCAAAGCGAAGCTTGGATCACCAACACGATCTCTCCGACCGAGTACATCGACAACCGCAGTGTACATGACATTGTTGCAAGATGTGTCCTCAGCCTTGACGCCTTCCTGTGCCACATCTCTAACGGCACGTCTTCGTACTACATCATTCGGAACGAGCAGTGAGACTGATGAGTTACCAGACAGCCTCCAGCGACTACCCCGTCACCAAAGCGACACTGCTCAACCCAGAATGTACAAGACCACAGCAGCAGAGCATCGACTCCACTCAGCAGCCACGAAACTCCTGCTCAAGTCTAAGTGCCATCAACTTCGACCTCGCCCAACAACTAGAGAAGGCAGAACAAGGTCTCGAACGCAGGCACGCGTCTATGGCAGAAATGAAGGAGGACCTGGTTCGACTGTGGAAGGGATCCAAGGAACAAGAGGCCAAGCGAGAAGAGGCGGAAGCTGAGAGCAAGCGGCTTCGCACCCTTGTCGACCGACTCAGCAACACTTCCGCTCGACGCGGCCGGCACAGAAGCCGTCTTGCCAGGCCTCCGCGAACGAACGATGGCGGCCCTTTCCCCCACAGCGTCCGTGGCATACGATCGATAACGACCATGGTTGTGACAGCGATCTTCTTTGCCGACAACGCAGATGGCCAGCACGATTCCGCCGCCACCCCGCGTTCATCAGGCAAGAGCATCCCGGGACACGAAGGGCAGCGTGGCTTCGTTCACATCTCTTGAAGCTGTTTGGTTTCGGGGGATGTGGACGAAGCCAAGCTGGGCTTCGTGTCCCGAGGTGTTTGTGCCAGATCTTCGCCCAGGTCTACAGAGTTACACACCACTTCAGCTCACAAAAGGCTGTGAAGGCAAAGTGGAGGCAGCGCTCAGCGCAAGGCTAAGAGCGAGGATGTGTGTCGCAATCGCGATAGCAATCCCGAAGTGGCCGAATACGCTACAGAATGGACGAAGCTGCAGCGTCAACGAAGGACACAAAGCTGCTCAAGCGGCCGCCCAGACAGTGATCAGGTCTTTAAGCTCTCCGGCGGGATGTTCGATGAGTGGAGGCTACGGCTTCACCGCACGCATCTCTTTGACTGCCTGATATCTGAGAGGGCGAGCGGTGTCCAACGTTGACGCTGGCTGGACGTCGGGCACTGAGACCACAGGTACTGTAGACCATCAAGAAGGCGACTGTCACTGCTCTTCTCGCTGACGATGCGCCCACAGGGTCCTCATGGGTTTGAGACGATGATCGACATTGCGAACACATCACTCGCTCCCGCCAGGTCGCCCTCGTACCATCTTGAACATGACGGGCTTCGGAGTGCAAACATTGGATGCGAAGAAGTCGACGCTCTTCTGATGATGCTCACAAGCTACAACATCTGTTTGCCATCTGGGAGCGACCGCTGGAGCCAAGGCCTCCGAGGGAACCAATGCCGTCAAGCATCGAACTTGGAATCGAGCTGGCAACAAGAACAGCCTGCTGACCAGGCAAAAGTGCACGCGCCTGCGGTGGGAGGCTTACCAACAACAACCCAGGAGCCGCGAATTATCAGCTGATGACTGGCAATGATTGACGACAGCAAAAAGCGACCCTGAGAAGACTCATCGCTCGAGCGTTCGAGCATCTCACGTACAACGGCATTCGTGGTGGCGGTACGTATCTGCGGCAAGGTCCAACGGGCGCTAGACACTGGTATCACTACTCCTGCCAGGTCATGTTGTGGCATGCGAACCAGGAGCGACTGCTCGTCTGGACCGACAGCAGGCGACCTCGTGATTGTCGATGAAGATACTCAACAATTCTCTCGCACAACTTCATCCACATCCACGGGATCACCGGCATATGCCAGATCTCTTCAGAAGTACTGTGCCTTCTCGCGCAGTTGCCTCAACTTTTTGATGCCCTTCGATGATAGCGTACAAGCAATGGAAGTAAGTCAACATCAAGAACTGGAGAGGCAGATCCGCTTGAGGAGTACGGCAAGTTAATCGAATGAGAACAGCGACTCTGATCTACGAGCCAAGAGGAGAACGACCGGTGTGGACAATGCTAAGGGCACTGGAATGGTAAGCGGCAAGCAGGATAAAACTGGTATGAGTGGTGGCGGGGGCGTCGCACTAAGAGACAAAAAATGAACAGCAATGCGAGAGCTGCGAAAGAGAAAGGCGCATCTACATGGGATGCAACGACGTTGTGATTGGACAGTGAGGACCGAGCTTGAGGGAAGGGGATTGGACAAAACACGGTGCAAGACAAAGGCTCTGCTCTCGAGCCTGCCGCAGCAGAAGGAGTGCACAAAAGGCTGCGGCGATGCCGAGAGCTCGATCTATGGGCAGGGGAACAATGTCAGCGCATAGCGAGACGGATTCGGAGTCCTATACACGGTACTGACGGCCATCTGATTGCTGAACAAAATCGACCGCAGTCTCTCAATGCGGGAAGGCAAGGTCTCATCCGAGGCGGAGTTTGTCGGCATCAGCGAACGTCGGCTTGACGCTGACGCTGAAACCACCACGATACCTTTCGCCCATGACCCCACCTGACAACAAAGGCTGCAGGGCACGTCACCATCCAAGGACTATGGAAGCAACCCGCGCTGCGAAATACTTCCCCTTCGGCGACGGCCCTTGCCCCCACCATCTAATGGAATAGCCAGAGCTGTCATCAGTAATGTTCCAGCGTAGCAAGCTTCAATCCTCTCCCATGCTCTAGCTCTCTCCTCTCCGGCCCAGCTTTCCTCACCTCTGACTGATCAAATAGACCTATCCAGACACACGATGGTGCAGAGCCGGCCGTGAGAGCATTTCTCATTTAACTTGGAGGCACGAGTCTGCTGGGCAACGTTTCCGCCAATCTGACGCAGAGCACTGTCGTTATCGATCTCGCTGCGGCACACCTGGCATTCTCTTCTTGACAGGCAAACGAAGTGGGACAACGAAAGTGATGGGATATGAGGCTCGCATCGGCGAGGCCTGGTCGTGGACAGCAAGACAGCTCTCTGGAATCAGCTCCTTTTCCATCAACGACTTTCGTTCTTTGCTTCACATCGCATTCTTGTAGAGCTGAGAGTTCATAGCGAGGGAAGCGTGATACATGGTGAAGGCGACGCTCGTTGAATCGCTCGATCATAGCAATGGCGCCGCATCTATCGCGCAGGGCGATCGAAAAAAAGATATCTGGCGCCAAGGAGGGAGGTGTCGCAAAGATTTGAAAGGGAGGTCGAGCCTTAGAGGTCAAGTGACGAAGATGAGATGACAGATGAAATGCGAAGGGCGATGACAAACGTATTGGGGGATGTGTATGGCATCAGGTCCAGGTCACGGCGTACGAACAACGGGTTGGAGGCGCCCAGGCCGAGAGTAGTATCAGAGTCTTCTCTACCGCAATTCTGCGATTCTTGTCTTCAACAGTAGTAACTCCTTGACCCATACAACAGATCAAAATCATACCGGTGCTCTGCAGAAATTCGCCGGCTTTGTTCCACAACGATGGCCGGATGCAGCACATGCAGACTGTTGAAAAGATACGCGAGGATGTGAACAAAGAAGAGCTGACAGCTTCTGCCGGCAGCACGGTGTCATTGCTGTAGGATTTCTCATAGAGCTGAATTGGAGAACCAATCTGAGATTTGCGCCATGGGGACAGTCCTCAGTTCAAGGCTGGTATCAGAGGCGGCGAGCCGAACGCGATCGATAAAAACGGAATGCTATCGTCGCCTCGTCTGCTCAGGTTGGACCTATCGTGCCCTCAGCCGATTGTTGGATGCGAGTACTACTATTGGAAGCTGCGATTGGGTTGGCAGTTTGGCGTTTCGAATGTCAACGTTTTCAGCCAGCGAGCCGTCGGAAGCGTGATTTCTGCTCCCACAACTGAGCTCCCGTGTCTTTACAACGCTCTGAAGATGAATACTGGGATGGGCGCGGCCTGGAAGATCAAGCGACGTGGACGGCTGGGAATTCGCAAGCTCGTTCCTTTCGTCGTGCTGACAAGGCATTTGTAAGTAGCGCTTTGAACCGTGTAAAGAGGGTCTGAAGGGTGCTGAACTATAATAGTACACCTTGTTAATCCTTGTATCGTAGCATAGACATTGAGCGTGAGAGCTGTCTGAGGGCTCCAGTTGTGTGTGGCTGCGCGACCCCTGCTTAGCGTGCAGCCTCGATATCCCGTTCCTGCAAGCTGCGCAGTGACATGTTCACAAGGCCAAACACTCTATCTTTCGGAATACCATCTCTTCCAGCGCTTCATCCAGCGGACTTGCACCAAATCAGGACAATCACCACGAGCAGCGAGGCTCAAGCGGAAGACTCTGTTGCCAGCGAGCGATAATCCGGACGAGCAATAACAACGAGAATCGACTTGCACCGTCTTGAGGTAGCGCAATCGTAGTCACCTGGAAGAGCAGCGATTGACTGACCACCAACTAGAGCGAGCCCCCTTGTCATACAGGAACCATCTCTGAGCAAGCCTCCTGGTTCCGCGAAGGCTGCGGATAGAGCAGCATCCCCAGTCGCTCTTGACAGCACAAATGGTACAGCACAGTGTGCCGCGGGTACTGGGGAGCCTTCTTGAGATGGCGCAAGAAGAGGTGTTCGCCGCTCAAGGTCTAGGAAGCTAAGGACCTCGAGAACAATCGTGCGAAGTATCTGCAATGCCGGGACACCAACACATCATGGCGCAAGTGAGTATCGTCTCCATGATGCAGCTTCAATCTGCGAAAGGCCTGTCGGACATCAGCCTCCTCTCTGCCAACGGCTCTCGACAGGACTCCCTACTTCGATCGACATCAATTCCATCGCCGCAAATGCGAACATGACAAGGCTGCCCACGAGTCCGACAGCTGTGGCTCAATTGCAACACCACGATCAGATACCCAGGATTGGATCTGTAGACACTGTGAACGCCTTTCCGAGCGCCAGTGTCTGTTCAGTCAGTACCGCGACCATTGCACCCAAGTAAACATCAACTGACAGGTCGCTGAATTAGTGGACATTGCTTCATCGCAGAACCTGCTGAGATCACCCGCAGACTACAATCTTACGCTTCCACCACAGACGTACGCCGCTCCTCCACACGCGTCCCTTCTGCGAAAGACGCTCTCTGACGAACTATGTGCCTACGGCCTGCCGACCAGCCGCTTCAGCTGAGAACACGATGACATTGGACATCTGAGGCCCAGGCCGATGTCGAAGCCGGCAGCATGGAGGAGTGCAGGCAAGAAATAGGAGAAGGACGCGAGGATAAGTAAGTGCATGAGCAAGCGCCTGCTCTCCAACTCCCGAGAGTTTACCCGCAGGCAGCATTCGGGCTACGAAGCGGCTTCATTCCACAGCATGACAACTCCATATGGTCAAGCTGCGGTATTCGAGCAAAAGAGCGATCTTGCATCCCAGCAATATTGAGGAAGACACGGTGCGAGACACGGTGCGAGCAGCTTGTGTGAACAACTGAGCAGCCTGCTCTTGACGCAGCTGAACATTCTGCTTGGAGGAAGAGGCGTACAGGAGGAAGTGGACATCACAATCGCACAACCTCCCGAAGACGACGCGTGAAGCGATATCCATGCCGCCCTTCATCTCTATGACTGCCCCATGTTCGCGGCACGCTGCACCCGCTCCAGGTCAAAGTCCATCAAGGCAATGACCATGCATCTTCGAGAGACAGTACTGGCTTCATGCAAGCGCAAGACTGCCAAATCGATGGACCAGGAGCCCTCTCAGCAAGACGATAAGCATTA